CAGAAGTCGTAACAGCAGCTGCGGTCACGTCAGTAGTGGCAGTGGCAAGGGAGGCAGTAAAGGTGGGCAGCTGAGGGACAGTGCACCCGTGGAACAGTGGAGGGGGCACAGCACCAGAGGCGGAGGCTACCGAGCGGAGGTTGCTCTCGACGTCCTTGAGGGCAGACTCAAGGACCTCGATAGTGAGCTCGCTAGGGTGCTTCAGAAGAAGCGCGTCACGAACCGAGGCAAGGCGGTCAGGGAGGCTAGTGGCGATGAAATAGATAGTAATCGCCATGGGGGGAGGGAGCAGTGCAAGCTGTGTGTCAGTGCAGGCGGCGCGGTAGTTAGAATCGAGCGAGCGCAGGTGAGCGATCAAGTCAGCAGAGCGCTCAAACGAGGCGAGGCCAGGAAATAGGAACTGGAGGAACAGTCGACCAAGAGAGACAGTGGTGGGAGTAGCGTAGCGGGCCTTGATCGCAGTCAGGAACTCACTAGCAGTGCGAACCTGAGTGAAGTGGGTCTCCTCAGACTCAGGGAGGAGGCTGTTGAGGGCGATGCAGGCCGCTGCGTCACACAACTTCCACGCTGTCTGTTCAGCACGCTGGCGTGCATAACGGTCTCTGTCGGCAGTGCTAGCGTCTGCGCCTAAGGGTGCAGGGTCATAGGGCGCAGGAAGGTCTGCGCCCACAGAGACTGGTCGGCCTGGACCTGACTCTCTAGGAGGCGGCGCGCACGCAGGAGCCAGACCGAGAACTCGAGCGGCCTACCCTCGGCGTCAAAGCGCAGAACTCTAGGGGTCGCCATAGCTATAGCGAACAGGTGGGAACTGGAACTGCCGAAACCCTAAACGCCATGTGGGGCTGAGTAGGGCGTGACGGGCAGTACGTGGAGCCTAGGGCGCGACGGTACGGTAGGGTAGGGCAGAACGGGACAGGCGAGCGGACGGACGATACTGGCACGACGCGGCTGGACGGGACGTGCGGCGCGACGGGACGTGACGGGCGTGGCGCGGCGCGGCAAAGCGGGACGGGACGGGACGGGACGCACGCGACGGGACGGGCAGGGACGGGGGCGACGCGGCGGACAGGCGCACGCGACGGACGGGACGGGCAGGGACGGGGGCGACGCGGCGGACAGGCGCACGCGACGGAAGGGACGGGCAGGGATGGGGGCGACGCGGCGGACGGGTGCACGCGACGGACGGGACGGGCAGGGACGGGGGCGACGGGCGGACAGGCGCGACGCGACGGACGGGACGGGCAGGGACGGGCGCGACGCCCGTCCCAACTAACCTAGGTGATACCATGTCAAGAACTGAATGATGATTTCACTAAGGTTGGTTGGGGTACATAAACCTAACCCTAATTGTTGTACCCCACATGACATGCCTCACTACAGGCTACAACATTTGACAACCCTACCCTACCTATGCAGAAACAAATGAGGTGCCAAGTAGCAACCACTTGTGCCCAGCTTGATTTCGTTATGTCCGGCTTGATTTTGTGGCCATCTCAAGCCGCATACCATTTTGGTGTCCCACCAAGAAAGGTTTCACGGTGTAAATGCAGGAGCTGACTACAATATAATACAGTAAAACCCCTTCTTCCCTTCATCAACAAAAACAAGAATAAAAACACAAACACACATACCACACATACACTCTCTACTCCGTAGTACTACAAGTACAACAAGCCAACCAACCAAGCATGCAATCTCATTCTGGCAGTACACGCACTAAACGACCCAGCCAATCGTCAGCTGAAGTTGGTTCCTGGCCTCCTAGCAGCAGTTGCTCGCACCTCTGCTCCATCAGCCACCGCGTATCTAATTTCCCTCTGGAGCTGCCAGCTAGCGCTTCCTTTCCCCCTGTCCATCCTACTAGGGTCGCTCATTCATTGCCCACCCTGCTGTCCTTGCAAAAAAAAAGGGGCGACTGTGAAAGGGAAGGAGGAGAGTGTCAGAAATGCGTGCGAGGCAGGAGCATTAGCTGAGCTGCCCCAGCTGCAAAAACAGCTTGGCAGAAGCAAAAGCTTACTTGGTCCGTCGCTTAACGTGTGCACTTCTTATTCTTCATTGTGTAGCCTTTCTTGCACTGACACCCCGCCACTCCTCCCACCACCACACACTGGGCATTAGCAGGGCAGGCCTTGCACATGGCTGGCGTGGGAGTGGGGGGAGAGGTGGGGGGTGGGGGTTGAGGGAGAGGGGGAAGAGTATGAGGCTGTGTGGGCCAACAGTGAGGGAAGAAGTGAGAGTGAGTGGTTCGAAAGGAGGAGGACCTGTCTCTTGACCTCTTGACATCTTCACTCTTGACCTCTTGACATCTCCACTCTTGACCTCTTGACATCTCCACTCTTGACCTCTTGACATCTTCACTCTTGACCTCTTGACATCTCCACTCTTGACCTCTTGACATCTTCACTCTTGACCTCTTGACATCTTCACTCTTGACCTCTTGACATCTTCACTCTTGACCTCTTGACATCTCCACTCTTGACCTCTTGACATCTCCACTCTTGACCTCTTGACATCTTCACTCTTGACCTCTTGACATCTCCACTCTTGACCTCTTGACATCTTCACTCTTGACCTCTTGACATCTTCACTCTTGACCTCTTGACATCTTCACTCTTGACCTCTTGACATCTCCACTCTTGACCTCTTGACATCTCCACTCTTGACCTCTTGACATCTTCACTCTTGACCTCTTGACATCTCCACTCTTGACCTCTTGACATCTTCACTCTTGACCTCTTGACATCTTCACTCTTGACCTCTTGACATCTTCACTCTTGACCTCTTGACATCTCCACTCTTGACCTCTTGACATCTTCACTCTTGACCTCTTGACATCTTCACTCTTGACCTCTTGACATCTTCACTCTTGACCTCTTGACATCTTCACTCTTGACCTCTTGACATCTTCACTCTTGACCTCTTGACATCTTCACTCTTGACCTCTTGACATCTTCACTCTTGACCTCTTGACATCTTCACTCTTGACCTCTTGACATCTTCACTCTTGACCTCTTGACATCTTCACTCTTGACCTCTTGACATCTTCACTCTTGACCTCTTGACATCTTCACTCTTGACCTCTTGACATCTTCACTCTTGACCTCTTGACATCTCCACTCTTGACCTCTTGACATCTCCACTCTTGACCTCTTGACATCTTCACTCTTGACCTCTTGACATCTCCACTCTTGACCTCTTGACATCTTCACTCTTGACCTCTTGACATCTTCACTCTTGACCTCTTGACATCTTCACTCTTGACCTCTTGACATCTCCACTCTTGACCTCTTGACATCTCCACTCTTGACCTCTTGACATCTTCACTCTTGACCTCTTGACATCTCCACTCTTGACCTCTTGACATCTTCACTCTTGACCTCTTGACATCTTCACTCTTGACCTCTTGACATCTTCACTCTTGACCTCTTGACATCTCCACTCTTGACCTCTTGACATCTTCACTCTTGACCTCTTGACATCTTCACTCTTGACCTCTTGACATCTTCACTCTTGACCTCTTGACATCTTCACTCTTGACCTCTTGACATCTTCACTCTTGACCTCTTGACATCTTCACTCTTGACCTCTTGACATCTTCACTCTTGACCTCTTGACATCTTCACTCTTGACCTCTTGACATCTTCACTCTTGACCTCTTGACATCTTCACTCTTGACCTCTTGACATCTTCACTCTTGACCTCTTGACATCTTCACTCTTGACCTCTTGACATCTTCACTCTTGACCTCTTGACATCTTCACTCTTGACCTCTTGACATCTTCACTCTTGACCTCTTGACATCTTCACTCTTGACCTCTTGACATCTGCACTCTTGACCTCTTGACATCTTCACTCTTGACCTCTTGACATCTTCACTCTTGACCTCTTGACATCTTCACTCTTGACCTCTTGACATCTTCACTCTTGACCTCTTGACATCTTCACTCTTGACCTCTTGACATCTGCACTCTTGACCTCTTGACATCTTCACTCTTGACCTCTTGACATCTTCACTCTTGACCTCTTGACATCTTCACTCTTGACCTCTTGACATCTGCACTCTTGACCTCTTGACATCTTCTCTCAACCCATGATAAGCAGTTGTTGGCATAGAGCCCTTGGTCAGCTCACCAGTGCACTGGCCGTTGGAGTTGGTGCAGCCATTGTCACACTTGCAAGCGTCTAGCCCGCCCTTTGCAACTCAATTTTGATAACATCTAACCAGCGATCTGCCTGTGCCTGCCCTTTACAACGCACCTTTTGAGACATCTCAAAGCTCACCAGTGCACTGGCTGTTTGAGTTGGTGTAGCCATTGTCACACTTGCAAGCGTCTAGCCCGCCCTTTGCAACTCAATTTTGATAACATCTAACCAGCGATCTGCCTGTGCCTGCCCTTTACAACGCACCTTTTGAGACATCTCAAAGCTCACCAGTGCACTGGCTGTTTGAGTTGGTGTAGCCATTGTCACACTTGCAAGCGTCTAGCCCGCCCTTTGCAACTCAATTTTGATAACATCTAACCAGCGATCTGCCTGTGCCTGCCCTTTACAACGCACCTTTTGAGACATCTCAAAGCTCACCAGTGCACTGGCTGTTTGAGTTGGTGTAGCCATTGTCACACTTGCAAGAGTCTTGCCCGCCCTTTGCAACTCAATTCTGATAACATCTAACCAGAGCCCTGCCTGCCCTTTGAGATTAGTCGATTTTTGAGTCGACTCAAAAATCGACTAGCCAGAGCCCTGCCTGCCCTTTACAACACACTTTTTGAGACATCTCAAAGCTCACCAGTGCACTGGTTGTTTCTCTTGGTGTAGCCGTTGGTTTTGAGACGTCTCGAAACCAACTTGTTACCACGTGGTCAACCCACCAATGCACTGGTTGTTCCTCTTGGTGTAGCCGTCTTGGTGTAGCCGTTCTCTTGGTTGAGATGTCTCAAAGCCCACAAGCGCCCTACCCCTTCTTCACAACACACTCTAGAGACGCCTCAAAGCTCGCTCACCAATGCACTGGTTGTTCCTCTTGGTGTAGCCGTCCCCACACTCGCAAGCGCCCTTGCCGTTCTTCACAACGCACTTGAAGTTCTTGCCGCACTTCACTTTGCCTGCCTTGCAAGGGTCTTTTGCTGCCATGGGTAGGGTAGCAGAAAAAAAGGAGGTGAAATCAGCCTGACTGGCTGGCTAAGGATCCAGGGACAAATGAGCATCTTACTGGCTGACTGGCTGGGTCCGTCCGAATCTTTCTTGATGGCAAGCATGTAACACGAGGCAACAGCGGGTAGAAGGACGTAAAATCAGCCTGACAGGCCAGCACTCACCCACTCTCCAGCGCTCACCCACATTCAAGCGCTCACCCACATTCAAGCGCTCACCCACATTCAAGCGCTCACCCACATTCCAGCACCCACCAATTCAACCTGTTCCAGCATTCACCCACACCCACACCCACACCCACACCCACACCCACACTCCCATTCCACTACCCACCAGGAATGCACGTCTTGTCAGCCTCTTGGAAGACAAAACCGTTGTTGCACTGGCACTGGCGAGTGAAATCACCCGTCCTGATGCACTTTGCACTTGCACCGCACGGCGAGTTATTACACACGTCTGGGGGGGTGGGCGGGGGAGGGGTGTGGGGGGGGTGGGGGGATCATGGGTTGATCAAAGAGTCGACCCAAACCGTCGTTGCACTGGCATTGGCGAGTGAAGTCACTGGTCCTGATGCACTTTGCACTTGCCCTGCACGGCGAGTTATTACACGTGTCTGTCGGGGTGGGGGGGTGGGGGGTTGGGAGGAAGGGGATTTTGGGTTGATTAAAGAGTCGACTCAAACCGTCCTGGCACTGGCACTGACGCTTGAATTCACCAGTCCTGATGCATGTGGCACTCGCCCCGCAAGGTGAGTTATTACACACGTCTGTGGGGGTGGGGGAAAGGGGTGACTAAAAAACACACTTTGCACTTGGAAAGGAAAGCGGGTTAGTGGAGGGATAGAACTACTTGTGAGCGTGCACACCTAACGGCTGTGCCCCAGGACTTACACGCACACCTAACGGCTGTGCCCCAGGACTTACACGCACACCTAACGGCTGTGCCCCAGGACTTACACGCACACCTAACGGCTGTGCCCCAGGACTTACACGCACATTGCAACACTCACCCGCCACAACCGTAACCCAGTACTCACCCGCACCCACACTCCAGCATGTACACAAACCACTTGAGCACCCACCAGCAATGCACTCTTTGTCAGATTCGCGGAAGATACATCTGGGCCCGCACAGGCATTGAGCAGAGCCATCTTTCATCAAGTTGCACGTGGCACTCACCCACACCCACAATCCAGCACCCACCAGCGATGCACTCTTTGTCGGATTCACGGAAGATACTTCCGGGCCCGCACTGGCATTCGGCAGAGCCGTCACCCATGACGTTGCACTTGGCTCTCAGCCCGCAATCCGTGTCGGCACACACGTCTGCAGCAGGGGACGTGGCAAGGCAAGATGGGTTGGGAAAGCAGGTGAAGTAGGGAAAGCGGGTTAGTAGAGGCGAAATTTGATTGAGTTTGACTCAACAGCAGAGGCGTCACCCATCACGTCGCACTTGGCTCTCAGCCCGCAATCCGTGTCGGCACACACGTCTGCAGCTGAGGACAGAGACATGGCAACATGGGTTGGGAAAGCAGGTAGAGTAAGGAAAGTGGGTTAGTAGAGGCTAAGTTTGAGTTGACTCGAAAGCAGAGCCGTTACACGTCACGTCGCATTGAGACGTCTCAAAACGTGATAAAAGTGTTGTTTTGAGACGTCTCATACGCAGAGCCGTTACGCATCACGTTGAACTTGGATCTTTTGAGGCGCCTCAAAAGTTACGCATCACGTTGAACTTGGATCTGTGCCCGCAATCCTTGAAGGTGCACATCTCTGCAGCAGGGGAAAGGGGACATGGCTGGCATGATGGGTTGATCCGAGACAAAGTAGGTAGGGACAGCAGGGTTAGCAGAGGGAAAGAAGTGCATATGAGAATGTCTTTTGAGGCGCCTAAAAAATTGCGGGTAGAGAGACGAATTTTGAGGCGCCTCAAAAGACAGCAGGGTTAGCAGATAGAAAGAAGTGCATATGAGGACGTCTGCAACATAACTGCTGTGCCTCAGCACTCACACACGTCTGCAACATAACTGCTGTGCCTCAGCACTCACACACGTCTGCAACATAACTGCTGTGCCTCAGCACTCACACACGTCTGCAGCAAAGGATATGGCATGATGGGTTGTTTTGAGGTGAAGTAGGAAAAGACCTCTGAGGCGCCTCAAAAGGTGCAGCAGAGGATATGGCACGGTGGGTTGTTTCGAGGTGAAGTACCAACAATGCACGTCTTGTTGACCTCTTTCAAAGAGATAGGCATCCCCACACACGCACTGGGTAGTTTTCCCAGGGTTCGCAGAGCACCCACCCACACCCACACCCACACCCACACCCACACCCACACCCACACCCACACCCACACTCCAGGACCCACCCACACCCACACCAACACTCACACTCACACCCACACCCACACCAACACTCCAGGACCCACCCACACCCACACCTATACCCACACCCACACCCACACCCACACTCACCAACAATGCACGTCTTGCTGGACTCTTGGAAGACATAGCCGTTTCCACACGCGCACTGGGTAGATTTCCCATCAGGGTTCACGGAGCACTCACCCACACCCACAGTTCAGCACTTTTGAGGCGCCTCAAAAGTCACTCCAGCACCCACCCACACCCACACCCACACCCACACCCACACCCACACCCACACCCACACCCACACCCACACCCACACCCACACCCACACCCACACCCACACCCACACCCACACCCACACCCACACCCACACCCACACCAACACTCCAGGACCCACCCACACCCACAGTTCAGCACTTTTGAGGCGCCTCAAAAGTCACTCCAGCACACACCCACACCCACACCCACACTCACCAACAATGCACGTCTTGCTGGACTCTTCAAAGAGATAGCCATCCCCACACACGCACTGGGTAGATTTCCCATCAGGGTTCACGGAGCACGAAGTGTGCTGTTTGGCCACAATCCACGTCAGCACACAAGTCTGCAGGGAAAATCATGGATGGATTGATGCGAGGCAAAGTGATGGATGGGTTGATCGGAGGTGAAATAGGGAACGCGGTTTAGAAGACCGAAGGAAGGAACGAGCATGCGTTAGAAACATTCTGCTCCATTATTCAACCACACTCCACCACTAGTCACCCACATTTAAACACTCACCAACAATGCACGTCTTCTCGTATGCGTCGAAAACGAAGCCCCTCTCGCACACGCACTGGGGGTCGCCATCCCGGTCCACAGCGCACTTTGCAGTTTGCCCGCAATCATAGTCGACACACTTGGCTGCGAGGGAAAGCAAGGGAGGGTTGTTCCAAGGTAAAGTAGGGAAAGCGGCACACTTGACTGTGATTGACGTCATGGGCTGGGCAAATCCCCTGTCGCACATGCAATGCCACGTGACATTATATCCAGGTGACTTTTGAGTCGAGTCAAACGTCATGGGCTGGGCAAAGCCCCTGTCGCACATGCAATGTGGGCGCACTCACGCACACTCTATCACTCACGCACACTCTATCACTCACCCACACCCACCATAAACACTCAAAACTTTACCGCAACCCCATCTCACCACTTCACACAGCGCACACCCCGAATCCAGCACTCACCGGGGCTGCACTCACCGGGGCTGCACTCACCGGGGCTGCACGTCTTCTTGAGTGGGTCTTGGATGAACCCATCACCGCACTGGCAGTCGGGATTGCCATTGCTGAGCACAACGCAGGTTGCATTCGGAGCACAGACCACTGGCGTGCACGCGTCTGCAGGGGGCGATAGGGGGTGTTGCGAGGGAACTTGGAATGAGTCCCTTCCCTCGAGTCCGTTTGAGTTTCTTTGAGTCCCTTTTCCAGTGCCTGGAAGGGGAAAGCTTTATTATTCGGATGTAAAGGTGCGAAAGGGGGAAATAATTTGGCAGATTATTTGTATGACCATGCACTCAGCCGCACCACGCGGCAACCCTCACCGCGAGTGCACGCATTGACAAAGGCAGTCGGTTGGTAGCGCCATCTCTCCTCAAACGCGCGAAGCCCACACTCGATCCACACCACCACGTAGCAACACTCACTCACCATGAATGCACGTCTTGGTTGCATTCAGTTGCACCACCTCTCCTTACAACACAACGCATGAAGCACAAACTCATCCACACACCACACCACATGGCAACACTCTAAACCCAAAAGCCTGAACCCTCACCGTGAATGCACGTCTTGGTCGCATCGTCGAAGCGAGAATCATCGAAGCAAAGGCACTTTTTGGAACCATCATCCCTCAAAGAGCAATAAGCACTCCTCCCACAGTCAACGTCGGCACACGCGGCTGCAGGGGGGATCAGTAAGTGTTGTTGCTCCGAGACAGACAGAGACAGAGGGTTAGAAGATGATGGGGAGTTTTTGCACTCACTCACACTCTTGCACTCACTCGTACTCACTCGCACTCTTGCAATCACTCACACTCTTGCACTCACTAACACTCTTGCACTCACTCACACTCTTGCACTCACTCACACTTTTGCACTTACTCACACTCTTGCACTTACTCACACTCTTGCACTTACTCACACTCTCGCACTCACTCACACCCCAGCTCTCACCCAACCCCCACCCACACTCAAGCACTCACTCCCACACAACAAGTTCCCACAAACAGGAAATCACCACACTCAACAGCTCCACCCCTGCTCCACCACTCACCCAAACTCCAACACTCACGCATATCCCACCACTCACCCAAACTCCATCGCTCACCAGGTAGGCACATCAAGCCAGGTTCTATTTTTGAGTCGACTAAAAATTAGACTCAATACACGCGGTTTTTGAGTCGACTCAAAAAAATTCTCAATTCACCCATACTTCATCGCTCACCAGGAATGCACATCAGGCCAGGTTCGTAATAAATAAAGCCATCCTCGCGGCACAGGCATGTGCGAGTGCCGTTCCCGTTCCCCACGCACGACACACCAAACCCGCAAGGCGATTTGTCACACGGGTCTGCAAGGGTAGGAAAGATCATGGATTGATTTTTTAGTTGACCCCAAAACGCACTTTGCACTAGGGCCGCCAAGTGAGCTGGCACACACACACGGGTCTGTGGGGATGGGGTGCGGGTGAGTGTTGGGGTGGAGGAAAAGTAGAGAAAGCGGGTTGGTAGAGAGGAAGAATGCACGTTGCACTTGGGCCGCAAGGCGAGCTGGCACACGCGTCTGTGGGTGGGTGGGGGTGGGAGCCCAGTGGGATAAGCCACAGATGTTTTACAGATCATCATGTGTTGATTTATAAAACACACGGTACACCTAGCCCGCAACGCGAGCTGGCTGGCACACGCGTCTGTGGGGAAAATTATGGTTGTTCCGAGGAGGAGAAGGGGAAGTGGGTTGGTAGAGAGGAAGGATTGCTTATGAGCATGCGTTTGAGAATTCTCAAAAGCGCGTTAATCCTCCCTTTTGAGAGTCACACCACAGCGCTCGTGAGTGGGAGCAGGAGTGTGGATGACCCACCCACACTCCACCGCTCATCCACACTCCACCGCTCATCCCCACTCCACCGCTCATCCACACTCCACCGCTCATCCCCACTCCACCGCTCATCCACACTCCACCGCTCATCCCCACTCCACTGCTCATCCCCACTCCACCGCTCATCCACACTCCACCGCTCATCCACACTCCACCGCTCATCCACACTCCACCGCTCATCCACACTCCACCGCTCATCCCCACTCCACCGCTCATCCCCACTCCACCGCTCATCCACACTCCACCGCTCATCCACACTCCACCGCTCATCCCCACTCCACCGCTCATCCCCACTCCACCGCTCATCCACACTCCACCGCTCATCCACACTCCACCGCTCATCCCCACTCCACCGCTCATCCACACTCCACCGCTCATCCCACTCCACCGCTCATCCACACTCCACCGCTCATCCACACTCCACCGCTCATCCACACTCCACCGCTCATCCACACTCCACCGCTCATCCCCACTCCACCGCTCATCCACACTCCACCGCTCATCCACACTCCTCCGCTCATCCACACTCCACCGCTCATCCCCACTCCACCGCTCATCCCCACTCCACCGCTCATCCACACTCCACCGCTCATCCCCACTCCACCGCTCATCCACACTCCACCGCTCATCCCCACTCCACCGCTCATCCACACTCCACCGCTCATCCCCACTCCACCGCTCATCCACACTCCACCGCTCATCCACACTCCACCGCTCATCCACACTCCACCGCTCATCCACACTCCACCGCTCATCCACACTCCACCGCTCATCCACACTCCACCGCTCATCCACACTCCACCGCTCATCCCCACTCCACCGCTCATCCCCACTCCACCGCTCATCCCCACTCCACCGCTCATCCACACTCCACCGCTCATCCACACTCCACCGCTCATCCCCACTCCACCGCTCATCCCCACTCCACCGCTCATCCACACTCCACCGCTCATCCACACTCCACCGCTCATCCCCACTCCACCGCTCATCCACACTCCACCGCTCATCCCCACTCCACCGCTCATCCCCACTCCACCGCTCATCCACACTCCACCGCTCATCCACACTCCACCGCTCATCCCCACTCCACCGCTCATCCCCACTCCACCGCTCATCCACACTCCACCGCTCATCCCCACTCCACCGCTCATCCACACTCCACCGCTCATCCCCACTCCACCGCTCATCCACACTCCACCGCTCATCCACACTCCACCGCTCATCCACACTCCACCGCTCATCCACACTCCACCGCTCATCCCCACTCCACCGCTCATCCACACTCCACCGCTCATCCACACTCCACCGCTCATCCCCACTCCACCGCTCATCCACACTCCACCGCTCATCCCCACTCCACCGCTCATCCCCACTCCACCGCTCATCCACACTCCTCCGCTCATCCACACTCCACCGCTCATCCACACTCCACCGCTCATCCACACTCCACCGCTCATCCCCACTCCACCGCTCATCCACACTCCACCGCTCATCCCCACTCCACCGCTCATCCACACTCCACCGCTCATCCACACTCCACCGCTCATCCACACTCCACCGCTCATCCACACTCCACCGCTCATCCCCACTCCACCGCTCATCCACACTCCACCGCTCATCCACACTCCTCCGCTCATCCACACTCCACCGCTCATCCCCACTCCACCGCTCATCCCCACTCCACCGCTCATCCACACTCCACCGCTCATCCCCACTCCACCGCTCATCCACACTCCACCGCTCATCCCCACTCCACCGCTCATCCACACTCCACCGCTCATCCCCACTCCACCGCTCATCCACACTCCACCGCTCATCCACACTCCACCGCTCATCCACACTCCACCGCTCATCCACACTCCACCGCTCATCCACACTCCACCGCTCATCCACACTCCACCGCTCATCCACACTCCACCGCTCATCCCCACTCCACCGCTCATCCCCACTCCACCGCTCATCCCCACTCCACCGCTCATCCACACTCCACCGCTCATCCACACTCCACCGCTCATCCCCACTCCACCGCTCATCCCCACTCCACCGCTCATCCACACTCCACCGCTCATCCACACTCCACCGCTCATCCCCACTCCACCGCTCATCCACACTCCACCGCTCATCCCCACTCCACCGCTCATCCCCACTCCACCGCTCATCCACACTCCACCGCTCATCCACACTCCACCGCTCATCCCCACTCCACCGCTCATCCCCACTCCACCGCTCATCCACACTCCACCGCTCATCCCCACTCCACCGCTCATCCACACTCCACCGCTCATCCCCACTCCACCGCTCATCCACACTCCACCGCTCATCCACACTCCACCGCTCATCCACACTCCACCGCTCATCCACACTCCACCGCTCATCCCCACTCCACCGCTCATCCACACTCCACCGCTCATCCACACTCCACCGCTCATCCCCACTCCACCGCTCATCCACACTCCACCGCTCATCCCCACTCCACCGCTCATCCCCACTCCACCGCTCATCCACACTCCTCCGCTCATCCACACTCCACCGCTCATCCCCACTCCACCGCTCATCCACACTCCACCGCTCATCCCCACTCCACCGCTCATCCACACTCCACCGCTCATCCCCACTCCACCGCTCATCCACACTCCACCGCTCATCCCCACTCCACCGCTCATCCACACTCCACCGCTCATCCACACTCCACCGCTCATCCACACTCCACCGCTCATCCACACTCCACCGCTCATCCACACTCCACCGCTCATCCACACTCCACCGCTCATCCCCACTCCACCGCTCATCCACACTCCACCGCTCATCCACACTCCACCGCTCATCCCCACTCCACCGCTCATCCCCACTCCACCGCTCATCCACACTCCACCGCTCATCCACACTCCACCGCTCATCCCCACTCCACCGCTCATCCACACTCCACCGCTCATCCCCACTCCACCGCTCATCCCCACTCCACCGCTCATCCACACTCCACCGCTCATCCCCACTCCACCGCTCATCCACACTCCACCGCTCATCCCCACTCCACCGCTCATCCACACTCCACCGCTCATCCACACTCCACCGCTCATCCACACTCCACCGCTCATCCCCACTCCACCGCTCATCCACACTCCACCGCTCATCCACACTCCACCGCTCATCCACACTCCACCGCTCATCCACACTCCACCGCTCATCCACACTCCACCGCTCATCCCCACTCCACCGCTCATCCCCACTCCACCGCTCATCCCCACTCCACCGCTCATCCCCACTCCACCGCTCATCCACACTCCACCGCTCATCCCCACTCCACCGCTCATCCCCACTCCACCGCTCATCCACACTCCACCGCTCATCCACACTCCACCGCTCATCCACACTCCACCGCTCATCCCCACTCCACCGCTCATCCACACTCCACCGCTCATCCACACTCCACCGCTCATCCACACTCCACCGCTCATCCCCACTCCACCGCTCATCCACACTCCACCGCTCATCCACACTCCACCGCTCATCCACACTCCACCGCTCATCCACACTCCACCGCTCATCCACACTCCACCGCTCATCCCCACTCCACCGCTCATCCCCACTCCACCGCTCATCCACACTCCACCGCTCATCCACACTCCACCGCTCATCCACACTCCACCGCTCATCCCCACTCCACCGCTCATCCCCACTCCACCGCTCATCCCCACTCCACCGCTCATCCCCACTCCACCGCTCATCCACACTCCACCGCTCATCCACACTCCACCGCTCATCCACACTCCACCGCTCATCCACACTCCACCGCTCATCCACACTCCACCGCTCATCCACACTCCACCGCTCATCCACACTCCACCGCTCATCCCCACTCCACCGCTCATCCCCACTCCACCGCTCATCCACACTCCACCGCTCATCCACACTCCACCGCTCATCCCCACTCCACCGCTCATCCCCACTCCACCGCTCATCCACACTCCACCGCTCATCCCCACTCCACCGCTCATCCACACTCCACCGCTCATCCCCACTCCACCGCTCATCCACACTCCACCGCTCATCCACACTCCACCGCTCATCCACACTCCACCGCTCATCCACACTCCACCGCTCATCCCCACTCCACCGCTCATCCACACTCCACCGCTCATCCACACTCCACCGCTCATCCCCACTCCACCGCTCATCCACACTCCACCGCTCATCCCCACTCCACCGCTCATCCCCACTCCACCGCTCATCCCCACTCCACCGCTCATCCCCACTCCACCGCTCATCCCCACTCCACCGCTCATCCCCACTCCACCGCTCATCCCCACTCCTGCTCCCACCCACTGCCCCACCCACTCTCTGGATGCTCACCCAAAACGGCACCCACCATGCGAATCGGGTTTCCGTGTGGAAATCAAGAGGGCGAGAAGCAAGAGGGCGAGAAGCAAGAGGGCGAGAAGCAAGAGGGCGAGAAGCAAGAGGGCGAGAAGCAAGAGGGCGAGAAGCAAGAGGGCGAGAAGCAAGAGGGCGAGAAGCAAGAGGGCGAGAAGCAAGAGGGCGAGAAGCAAGAGGGCGAGAAGCAAGAGGGCGAGAAGCAAGAGGGCGAGAAGCAAGAGGGCGAGAAGCAAGAGGGCGAGAAGCAAGAGGGCGAGAAGCAAGAGGGCGAGAAGCAAGAGGGCGAGAAGCAAGAGGGCGAGAAGCAAGAGGGCGAGAAGCAAGAGGGCGAGAAGCAAGAGGGCGAGAAGCAAGAGGGCGAGAAGCAAGAGGGCGAGAAGCAAGAGGGCGAGAAGCAAGAGGGCGAGAAGCAAGAGGGCGAGAAGCAAGAGGGCGAGAAGCAAGAGGGCGAGAAGCAAGAGGGCGAGAAGCAAGAGGGCGAGAAGCAAGAGGGCGAGAAGCAAGAGGGCGAGAAGCAAGAGGGCGAGAAGCAAGAGGGCGAGAAGCAAGAGGGCGAGAAGCAAGAGGGTGAGAAGCAAGAGGGCGAGAAGCAAGAGTGAACACCACAGTCCACTCACCGCCAGGAACCACAGCGCTGGCGTGGGTCACGAGGAACCTGATCGAAACGCGCTGGCTTGAGTCGCGAGTTTTTGAGGCAATCTTGGGAGGCACCTCAACAATAGCAAGAGTGAACAGCTAGGTCAGTACTCACCAGCAGGAGGCGTTACGCTGGCTTGGTGACTTTTCAAAAGTCCTCACGGCCAGTAGTCCTCACCAGCAGGAGGTGCGGCACTGGCGTGGTGACGTTTGAGTGGACTTTCAGTCGATTCGAAAGCACGAGTGCGGAAGCAAGAGTGAACAGCACGGTCAGTACTCACACCAGCAGGAGGTGCGGCGCTGGCGTGGGTCATAAGGAAGCAAGGAGCTGGCTCGACTCGAGGCGCATCAAAAACAGCAAGAGTGAACAGCACGGTCGGTACTCACCAGCAGGAGGTGCGGCGCTGGCGTGGGTCGCGAGGAAGCTGATGGCAAGGAGTGTGAGAAGCTGATGGCAAGGAGTGTGAGAAGCTGATGGCAAGGAGTGTGAGAAGCTGATGGCAAGGAGTGTGAGAAGCTCACGCTTCTACTGAGAAGCATGAGCGAGGCACCCCTTGGGTTGGGTTGGGTGCCATGGCACGTGCCAGTCAGTCAGCCTACTCACCATTGTCAGCGGCGCTGGCGTGGGTCGCTCGCGAGGAAGCGATGGTGGCAAGGGAAGGTAACAAGGCCTGGTTCGGCTGCATGAGCGGCGAGCACCCCCTGGGTTGAATGCCATGGTGGGTACCATGGTGGGTGCCATGGTGGGTGCCATGGTGGGTGCCATGGTGGGTGCCATGGTGGGTGCCATGGTGGGTGCCATGGTGGGTGCCATGGTGGGTGCCATGGTGGGTGCCATGGTGGGTGCCATGGTGGGTGCCATGGTGGGTGCCATGGTGGGTGCCAGTCGGTCAGCCCACTCACCATCGTCATCAGCGCTGGCGTGGGTCGCGAAGTGGAGGCTCATGGTGGCAACGAGGGTGAATAGCATGAAGCAAGCACCCCTTGGGTTGAATGCAATACTACGCCCCGGTCAGTCAGGCAGCCTACTCACGAACGTCATCGGCGCTGGCGTGGGTCGCGAGGAAGCTGATGGCGACGACGAGACCCGCGACGAGTGCGGCGAGGCCACACAGGCCAGACCGCCGCTGCTCGTAGCGCTTCATGACGACAGGAGAAGAGAGGAGACGGCCGGGGAACACGGGGAGACGCGCGGGATTAGCGATCGCGGCGGCGCGACGGCGAGAAGCTTCGCGATGGTTGGGTTTCCTTGGAGTGAGATGTTGAACCGCCGGGACTCAAGTCGCCGGTGGTCGCGACGAGGCAGCGGTGCCGCGGCTTGCACTAGTAGTCACTACTAGTAGCGCTACGGTACGCTGGCAGGTTTGATGATTGGGTGGCGGCTCGACGGTGCGAAAGAGACGAGATGGAGAGGCACGCGGCGATGATCGAGTGAGCAGCGGAAAGAGAGAAAGGGCGAGTGCGGCTAGTGGAAATCGACCGATCGTGGATTTATGTGCTGTCTCGTGACTCGCTTGGAGTGGTCAATCGCTCTCGCGCGTGTTGCGGACTCGCGCTGGCGGACGATAATGCAATGCATTTCGTCGCGGAGAAAAAGGGGGTGGGGATTGTGTACGCAGGGAGGCGCAGCAGGGACGCGCAGCAACCCGAATAAAGAACGAGCGGGTGGAGAGTGGGGGGGTGATTGGGGGGGGGGGGGGGGGGGGAGGGGGGAAGGGGGAGGGGGGAGGGGAAGGAGGAGTGGCGGGGCTCTTTACTAGGGGGGTCTCCAGTTCCGACAACGTGCATTTGCTCTATTTTACGACGGTCTGCGATCGTGTTGGGGACTATTCCTAGTAGGAGTCAAATGGGGTGTAGCGATTCTCGTCATGAGGGCCACACGGTGGGAACGCGAAGGAGGAACAGACGATGGGGGAAGACGGATTATCGTTGGGGAGGGTAGCCAGTGCTTGACTTTTGGGACGCCTCAAAAGGAGAAATGGGCGACGAGGCGGTGATGACGGGAGGAATTGTTGTGTTTGAGTAGCAAACGCGTTAGGATAGCCATTTCAATTGGACGAGGCGGGATTCAAAACTCCGCGACGAATATGCTTCCGCGACTTGCGGGAGTGAGTTATTGCACAAACGCACTGCTGGACATATGGGATTACACCCTGTTTCTCGCTACACTGAACTGTGCCGAACTGGAGACAAACCTTGTTATCTTTGATCTGCCTGATTGAACCATACTGAAACGTAATTTTACCACTGTCAACCGAGATTTTTCCATCTTGACTTCATTATAACCGAACTCACAATGGCGAGAAACAGGGTGCATGAGGAGTCCAACAATTGCTTTGAACGCGTTTGGTAACGCCCGTGGCGAAAAGGAGGGGATGGGCGTGTAACGTAAGTTCTGCTGTACAAATCTTTCGCCAGATTTCGCGAAAGCTCGAGGTATTGGAGGAATCCAACCAAAAAGCGGAAACGACGGCGGGCTGCTGTGACCAAAACATAAGCGGAGGAATCTGGGCAACGACTGCAACGCCTCCCGAATGCTGGCGACAGTACATTCTTTCGCAAATCTCATCGTATTCGTCGTACCTGGTTACCATAACAATTGTCGTGCATCCAGTTTGCCTGGAATGTCAGCGGCATCTGCTGCTCCCCGGGCGAACAGGTCCGAAACCCCCCTCCTCGCCAGCTTGGGCCTACAGCAGCTATCGTTTCGCGGGCAGGGAAGGGTTCCCATCCCGTCACACATGCGCGAAATATTGCGCGAAGAAACCACACGACGCCATAGCTCCACCAGTTTCGCCAGCCCCCAAGCTACCACTTCCCACGCGTTATTGTATGGATGATTATTATTGGTCACAATGTCTTCCTAGCTATGATGTATGGTCACTCAGGCGGTAAAAAGAGGGCAAATTTATCACATCGCGTTTCCCCACAATACTTTGAGGTGGTGACAGCCTGAGATTTATTGCTGAGGCGGCAGCCTGAGATCCCAGGTCTCAATAATTTCATCCACGTCAAACTGATTCACCACCTGCCATTGCCATGCAAGGGTTTGAGAGAAAAACAAACAAACAAAAAAAAGGGGGGGGGGGGGGGGGGGGGGAGATGGTGCTTCTCGCTTAAGAAATCAATCGACAATACAAGCAAGTGCAAAAATGCACGGACGCATTGTCGCAGAAACATGACACGCGGCATAACCAATGTGAGAACACATTGATGGAGGGGAAACGGAGGGAAGTTATCAGGCGGGGAGAGGAGTGGATAACGATTAGCACAGAATATGCAAAGAGTAGGGCATGAGGAAGAGAGATTACTGGCACAAGAGGGTCACCAAGTGACAGGACTGCCTGCTCGAGAAGCGACTTGGGCTTGTACTGTTTGTGGAAGAGAGGGGAGGACGAGGGGCAGAAGAGGGAGGACGAGGGGCATGGGTGGGGAGCAGCAAGTGGTTTAGGCTTGTGTTGCACGTGAAAGAACGAGGAGAGGCGCGAGAGGGTCACCAAGTGAAAGGACTGCTTGCTCAAGATGCGATTTGGGCTTATGCTGCTTGTGGAAGGGGGGTGGAAGCAGGGCCATGGAAAGGGAGTGGCAAATGAAAGATGCAAGAGACGGATAGGCATGGGTGAAAACAGGGCCATGGGAAGGGAGGGAGTGGCAAGTGGCTCTGGAAATTATTGCGCATGAAAGGAAGGAAGAGCGGTAAGAGGCAAGAGAGAGATGGGCAGGCAAAAGGAACTGGGGGGCAGAAAGGAAGTGGGCAAGCAAAAGAATCACCAATCCCATCCACTCTCTCCAGGTTTTTCAGATCCTCAGAAACAATTTGTACGATGTAGTTATCAATAATCGTTTGTACGTACATTGAGTTTCTCCCTGTAGAAGTATTCGTCCACGTCAGCCTGCACCCCCATTCGCTCAAAGAAGGCTCGGATGATGGAGGAGGAGTAGCGCTGGAGGGGAGAGGAGAGGGGGAAAGGGAGGAGAGGGGGAAAGGGAGGAGAGGGGGAAAGGGAGGAGAGGGGGAAGAACCTGGTACAAGGGATTAGAACGGAAAGGAGAGCTCTAGATCCCATACTTCAGTTGCTATATGGGAGATAGTTACGTCAGGGGGAGAACCACCGAAAGGATTTTGAATAGTCACCTAGTGAACACCACCCAACGCACCTGACATTTAGTGACAACCCAACAACGCACCTGAGCATAATTACACTCGGCTAGCAGCAGCACTGCCCCATCCAGATTGGCCGGCCCCTGACAGTGAGTGAGAGAGCGAGTGTGGGAACGAGTGAGAAAGTGAGTGAGGGAGTAAGTGAGAGGCCGAATTTGGAGAGAGTGGAAAAGAGGATGGAGGAAGGAAGCATGATCGAGGGAAAAGAATTCATCGCACTTCCTCAGTAGGCAAATCACACTGTTGGTTCCTTGAATGATATTTGTTTCTATGCAAAAGACAAGTCACACGACACGGGGACAGACACATGGAACAAGATGCAACCGCAGTGCTCAACAATGCATTGAGGTGATTTTTGAGGCGCCTCAACAATCACCACAAGCCACACAGGGACAGACACAAGCCACACGACACGGGGACAGACGCATGGAACAAGAAGCAACCGCAGTGCTCATCGACTCCTTCCCCCCCACCTCTCCTGCCCCTTCTCTCCTGCTTTGATTTGAGGCACCTCAAAACTAGACAACTCTCCAGCCCCTTCTCTCCTGCTACTCCTGCCGTTCCCCCCCACACTTCCAGCCCCACAATCTCTTCACCAGAAAATACTACGTTAGTTGATGATTCAGCCAGTAGGAGGAGTGATAGCAAGTGCACAGCTCGCCTGCACCTTCACGTGCATGCTGCGATATGAGTTGGTTTTTGAGAATTATCAAAAACCGCGTGCATGCTGTGATAAGACACATCCACACTGAGTGATAAGCCAATCCACATCACACTTGCGCCTCCCTTCCACCTCACCTGCACCTTCACTTGCATGCTGCCGCGGCGATCCTTGTCCCACTCTGCCCCACCGCCTGCTGCTTCCACCCACTCCACGGTGTAGGCCTGTGTGGTCAAACAGCGAATGCGAGTAAAAGAGGGAATGAGTGAGAGACAGCAGTGGAATAGAGTGGTGCGAGTCACATGATTCATATCCCACCGCGCACACACACCGCCACCTGCTGGCTTTCACTCCACCCAGTAAGCCTGCTGTGCCAGATGGTAGACGCCTTAAAAGACTTTTGAGACGTCTCAAAAGTACGCCTGCTGCGCCAAATGATAGCGTAGATGCCCTGCAGGATCATATTACTAGGAGAGATATATGCAAGTTGCAGAAACGATACCCATGGCTTATGAAGAGCTATGCGCCAAATGATAGCGTAGATGCCCTGCAGGACCATATTACTAGGAGAGAGATATGCAAGTTGCAGAAACGATACCCATGGCTTATGAAGAGCTATGTTGAAGCATCAGAGTGGAGTGAACTCAGCACGCATCTCACAAGCAAGGCAGTAAGACTCCACAAGCAAGACAGTAAGACTTTGAGTCGACAAGCATCTAAAAGAATTATCTCAACACACATCTAAATACGCATTTCAAATTGAGACAGTAAGACCCACAGCTCAACCGTCCCTGTAAGAACCAGCATCCACCATCCAGTAGGCTCAAAACAAATCCCACCATGCGCCAGGCAATGCAACTTCTCTTACACTCCGGACACCAGCTCTGACAGGCTGCACCTCCCCCCGTCCCTCTGCTCACCCATCTCTCTGAAAACCACCTCCCACTGTTGCGTTTCACCCACCCTCTCAACCCTTGCACGCACACACCCACCTGCAGAAACCCCACGTCCAGCAGGCGTTGCAGAATCTCCTTTACCCCAGCCACCAGCCCTGCTGGCTGCACCTCCCCCGTTCCAGCTGCTTCTGCTCGTGCTGCTGGTGGTGGGAGGGATTGCTTCGACAGCAGCGACGGCGGGTCCAGCCAATCCTGATCGTCCACCTGTTCGGCTGATGACGCTGGCGGTGCTGACGTGGCAAGGCGAGCGAATGGTAGGGAGGTGGAGGGAGAGAGAGGGGAGAAGGCGGAGGAGGAGGAGGAGGATGGGGAGGAGGATGGGGAGGGCGAAGCAGAGGAAGAGGAGGGGGTGGAGAGGGAGGGTGGGGGAGGAGTGCAAGAGCGATGGCGACTGCTTCTGCTTCTGGTGCCACTCGGTCCAGCAGCTTCCTCCCCAAGCGGGTGCTGATTTCCTGAGAGAGACACAAGGGGACGAAGGGGGAGAAGCACAAGAAAGCTGAATCAGAAAAAGCTGCTTCTGCTTCTGGTGACACTCGGTCCAGCAGCTTCCTCCCCAGGAGGTGGGCACTGATCTCCTGAGAGAGACAGACATAAGGGGACGAAGGGGGGGAAAGAGGCACATTCGGAAAGAAGAAAGCTACAGAGAGTGTTCACGCAGAGCATGCTAGCTGGTTTGCTGCCCAACATGGATTGTTGCACAAATGGACGGAAACTGGCTTTCACATGTGCCCGGTTCAGCACGGTGGGGTGAGGTGAGGTGGGATGTGCGAGGTGGGGTGAGGTGAGGTGGGGTGAGGTGAGGTGGGGTGAGGTGAGGTGGGGTGAGGTGAGGTGGGGTGAGGTGAAGGTGAAGCACTCACCTCCCTGACTCGCTGTGTGGGAAAGAGGCGAGCGATAAGCTTCCACTGGCAGAGCAGAGGGGAATAGGAGAAGGGGTACAAGGGATGGAAGGGGTACAAGGGATGGAAGGGGTACAAGGCGGGATGGAAGGGGTACAAGGCGGGATGGAAGGGGTACAAGGCGGGATGGAAGGGGTACAAGGCGGGATGGAAGGGGTACAAGGCGGGATGGAAGGGGTACAAGGCGGGATGGAAGGGGTACAAGGCGGGATGGAAGGGGTACAAGGAGGGATGGAAGGGGTACAAGGCGGGATGGAAGGGGTACAAGGGATGGAAGTGTTAGAATCCTGTGAAGGATGAGAACTTAGAATTGAAAGAAGTGGTATTAGAAGGGAAAATAAGAGGTACATATAGTTGAGCTAGGAGAGGGGGGGGTTGGTAGGGAGTGTGGCCAGTGATCATCAGCGGCACTGTACTTCTTGGTTGGAGGAATTATTGGTCCCCTCCAATAATTGGGTTGGAGGAAGTATTGGTCCCCTCCAATAATTGGGTTGGAGGAATTATTGGTCCCCTCCAATAATTGGGTTGGAGGAATTATTGGAGCCTCCAATAATCATAGGGCCCCAATAATTCCCTAACCCAACCTTTGGGGGCCAAACATTTTGGCCAAGGTTGGAACCAAACCACAACTAGGGTAAACCCCAGTTGTACACCCAAATTAGGTTTGGGTGCTTAACTCTAGACAAGCGAACTAGCATATGCAGGATAAATAGAATGGAGGTTTTCTAACACAACCCCTTAGCCTGCATAGGGCTAGGAGGCTTGAATGAGAGACGGGGCAACCCCTGAAGCATGAAGTCGATGCCAGGGAGAGAAGCTGAAGGAAAGGGGTTGGTGAACGCGAGGTTGTGACGGGGGAGGCCGTGGTGGTCGGGGACAAAGGGAGACGGCGGCGGCAGCGTGAGGGCCGCGGTGGCGAACGGGGAAGGCGGCGGCAGCATGAGGGCTGCGGCGGCGAAGGGGGAGGGCGGCGGCAGCGTGAGGGCTGCGGCGGCGAACGGGGAAGGCGGCGGCAGCGTGAGGGCTGCAGCGGCGAACGGGGAAGGCGGCGGCAGCGTGAGGGTTGCGGCGGCGAACGGGGAAGGCGGCGGCAGCATGAGGGCTGCGGCGGCGAAGGGGGAAGGCGGCGGCAGCGTGAGGGCTGCGGCGGCGAACGGGGAAGGCGGCGGCGGCGTGAGGGCTGCGGCGGCGAACGGGGAAGGCGGCGGCAGCATGAGGGCTGCGGCGGCGAAGGGGGAAGGCGGCAGCAGCGTGAGGGCTGCGGCGGCGAACGGGGAAGGCGGCGGCAGCGTGAGGGCTGCGGCGGCGAACGAGGAAGGCGGCAGCAGCGTGAGGGCTGCGGCGGCGAACGGGGAAGGTGGCGGCAGCATGAGGGCTGCGGCGGCGAAGGGGGAAGGCGGCGGCAGCGTGAGGGCTGCGGCGGCGAACGAGGAAGGCGGCAGCAGCGTGAGGGCTGCGGCGGCGAACGGGGAAGGTGGCGGCAGCATGAGGGCTGCGGCGGCGAAAGGCGGCGGCAGCGTGAGGGCTGCGGCGGCGAACGGGGAAGGCGGCGGCAGCGTGAGGGCTGCGGCGGCGAACAGGGAAGGCGGCGGCAGCATGAGGGCTGCGGCGGCGAACGGGGAAGGCGGCGGCAGCGTGAGGGCTGCGGCGGCGAATGGGGAAGGCGGCGGCAGCGTGAGGGCTGCGGCGGCGAACGGGGAAGGCGGTGGCAGCGTGTGGGCTGCGGCGGCGAACGGGGAAGGCGGCGGCAGCGTGAGGGCTGCGGCGGCGAACGGGGAAGGCGGCGGCAGCATGAGGGTTGCGGCGGCAAAGGGGGAAGGCGGCGGCAGCGTGAGGGCTGCGGCGGCGAACGAGGAAGGCGGCAGCAGCGTGAGGGCTGCGGCGGCGAACGGGGAAGGCGGCGGCAGCGTGAGGGCTGCGGCGGCGAACGGGGAAGGCGGCGGCAGCGTGAGGGCTGCGGCGGCGAACGGGGAAGGCGCCGGCAGCGTGAGGGCTGCGGCGGCGAACGGGGAAGGCGGCGGCAGCGTGAGGGCTGCGGCGGCAAAGGGGGAAGGCGGCGGCAGCGTGAGGGCCGCGGCGGCGAAGGGGGAAGGCGGCGGCAGCGTGAGGGCTGCGGCGGCGAAGGGGGAAGGCGGCGGCAGCTTGAGGGTGCGGCGGCGAAGGAGGAGGAAGCGAAGGGGAAGGGGGAGGAGGGCTGGATGGCCCGAAGGAGGAGGAAGCGAGGAGGAGGAGGGGAGGGGGGGGGGGGGTGTGATGGCCCGAAGGAGGAAGCGAGGAGGGAGGAGGGCTGGAATGCCCTGAGGAGGAGGAAGCGAGGGAGGAGGGCTGGAATGCCCCGAGGAGGAGGGAGCGAGGGGGGGAGGAGGGAGCGAGGGAGGAGGAGGGCTGGAATGCCCCGAGGAGGAGGGAGCGAGGGGGGAGGAGGGCTGGAATGCCCCGAGGAGGAGGGAGCGAGGGGGGGGGAGGGCTGAAATGCCCCGAGGAGGAGGAAGCGAAGGGGGAGGAGGGCTGGAATGCCCCGAGGAGGAGGGAGCGAAGGAGGAGGAGGGTTGGAATGCCCCGAGGAGAAGGGAGCGAGGGGGGAGGAGGGCTGGAATGCCCCTAGGAGGAGGAAGCGAGGGGGGAGGAGGGCTGGAATGCCCCGAGGAGGAGGAAGCGAAAGGGGAGGAGGGCTGGAATGCCCCGAGGAGGAGGGAGCGGGAGGCTTGAATGGCGACGAAATTGCCGAGGCGGCGAGGGGGGGAGGAGGCGGCGGCGGCGGAGTGGCCGCGGCGGCGAGGGGAGGAGGCGGCGGCGGCGGAATGGCCGCTGGCGCAGTGCGAGGGGCATCGACGGGGGCAGGGCGCCGTTAGGCGCGCGGGCAGAGGCGACGGGAGCGGGGCGCCGTCGGGCGCGAGGGCGGAGGCGACAGGAGCAGGGCGCCGTTAGGCGCGAGGGCTGAGGCGACGGGAGCGGCTGGCGATGCGGCGGACGGAGGGCGCCGAAATCGCCGTGAAGTTGAGTCCGCGCGGCTGCTGGTTGCGACGGCCGCGATGGTCATAGTTCGGCGAACGGCACCAAAACCGCCGCAAAATCGCGTGGAAGTACACGCCGGACACATGGTCCTCGGATCGTGAGGGGCGTGAGCCAAAAGGCTCTGCTACCATGTTAGAATCCTGTGAAGGATGAGAACTTAGAATTGAAAGAAGTGGTATTAGAAGGGAAAATAAGAGGTACATATAGTTGAGCTAGGAGAGGGGGGGGTTGGTAGGGAGTGTGGCCAGTGATCATCAGCGGCACTGTACTTCTTGGTTGGAGGAATTATTGGTCCCCTCCAATAATTGGGTTGGAGGAATTATTGGTCCCCTCCAATAATTGGGTTGGAGGAATTATTGGTCCCCTCCAATAATTGGGTTGGAGGAATTATTGGTCCCCTCCAATAATTGGGTTGGAGGAATTATTGGAGCCTCCAATAATCATAGGGCCCCAATAATTCCCTAACCCAACCTTTGGGGGCCAAACATTTTGGCCAAGGTTGGAACCAAACCACAACTAGGGTAAACCCCAGTTGTACACCCAAATTAGGTTTGGGTGCTTAACTCTAGACAAGCGAACTAGCATATGCAGGATAAATAGAATACAGGTTTTCTAACAGGAAGGGGTACAAGGCGGGATGGAAGGGGTACAAGGCGGGATGGAAGGGGTACAAGGGATGGAAGGGGTACAAGGCGGGATGGAAGGGGTACAAGGCGGGATGGAAGGGGTACAAGGGATGGAAGGGGTACAAGGCGGGATGGAAGGGGTACAAGGCGGGATGGAAGGGGTACAAGGCGGGATGGAAGGGGTACAAGGCGGGATGGAAGGGGTACAAGGCGGGATGGAAGGGGTACAAGGCGGGATGGAAGGGGTACAAGGCGGGATGGAAGGGGTACAAGGCGGGATGGAAGGGGTACAAGGCGGGATGGAAGGGGTACAAGGCGGGATGGAAGGGGTACAAGGCGGGATGGAAGGGGTACAAGGGATGGAAGGGGTACAAGGCGGGATGGAAGGGGTACAAGGCGGGATGGAAGGGGTACAAGGCGGGATGGAAGGGGTACAAGGCGGGATGGAAGGGGTACAAGGCGGGATGGAAGGGGTACAAGGCGGGATGGAAGGGGTACAAGGCGGGATGGAAGGGGTACAAGGCGGGATGGAAGGGGTACAAGGCGGGATGGAAGGGGTACAAGGCGGGATGGAAGGGGTACAAGGCGGGATGGAAGGGGTACAAGGCGGGATGGAAGGGGTACAAGGCGGGATGGAAGGGGTACAAGGCGGGATGGAAGGGGTACAAGGCGGGATGGAAGGGGTACAAGGCGGGATGGAAGGGGTACAAGGCGGGATGGAAGGGGTACAAGGCGGGATGGAAGGGGTACAAGGCGGGATGGAAGGGGTACAAGGCGGGATGGAAGGGGTACAAAGGGTACGAGGGAGGAAAGGCGGGATTAATAGCGAGTGAGCGTGCGGATGGGGGGGCGGAGGAGAGGGGGAGCGGGACGAGGGGAGAGGTCAAGAACGTGAGAAGAGGGAATACGGACACATGAGGTAGGCAGCACGGAAGGGAAGGTGGGTGGAAGAAAGCAAGCCTGGTCAACTCAGCTGGCGGAACAAACCTCAGCTGGAAAAAGCGGAACAAACTCGCACGTTCCCTTCCATGCTGGGCTGCTCCGCTCTGCCTCCACATGTGTGGTGTGCAGGAGCTGTCACTAGCGGACAGGTGGGCTGGGCTGCCCTGCCCACACAATGCTCACCTGGATGGATTGGATGTACGACTGCTGGAAGTTGAAGTAAGGCACATCGTTGTATCATCACATCACACCCACCTGCACTGCATGTAGCAGCGCCCCCACCCCAACCTGGGAGTGCGAGCGGATGAGTCGAGTCGAGCACACCATGCTGACCTGGGCTGGATGTGAAACCAGCAGCACCACACTGCACACCTGGATGTGAAACCAAACCAGCACCACACTGCACACCTGGATGTGAAACCAAACCAGCACCACACTGCACACCTGGATGTGAAACCAGCAGCACCACACTGCACACCTGGATGTGAAACCAAACCAGCACCACACTGCACACCTGGATGTGAAACCAGCAGCACCACACTGCACACCTGGATGTGAAACCAAACCAGCACCACACTGCACACCTGGATGTCAAACCAAACCAGCACCACACTGCACACCTGGATGTGAAACCAAACCAGCACCACACTGCACACCTGGATGTGAAACCAAACCAGCACCACACTGCACACCTGGATGTCAAACCAAACCAGCACCACACTGCACACCTGGATGTGAAACCAAACCAGCACCACACTGCACACCTGGATGTGAAACCAAACCAGCACCACACTGCACACCTGGATGTGAAACCAGCAGCACCACACTGCACACCTGGATGTCAAACCAAACCAGCACCACACTGCACACCTGGATGTCAAACCAAACCAGCACCACACTGCACACCTGGATGTGAAACCAGCAGCACCACACTGCACACCTGGATGTGAAACCAAACCAGCACCACACTGCACACCTGGATGTGAAACCAAACCAGCACCACACTGCACACCTGGATGTCAAACCAAACCAGCACCACACTGCACACCTGGATGTGAAACCAAACCAGCACCACACTGCACACCTGGATGTCAAACCAAACCAGCACCACACTGCACACCTGGATGTGAAACCAAACCAGCACCACACTGCACACCTGGATGTGAAACCAAACCAGCACCACACTGCACACCTGGATGTCAAACCAAACCAGCACCACACTGCACACCTGGATGTGAAACCAGCAGCACCACACTGCACACCTGGATGTCAAACCAAACCAGCACCACACTGCACACCTGGATGTACGACTGGAAGTTGAAGTAAGGCACATCGTTCACTGTGAAACTGGGCCTGCTCGCGGATGGCAGCAAGGGGATGAGAGGGGAGGGAAGCGGAGGAGTAAGGGGAGGGGAGGGGAGGGGAGGGGAGGGGAGGGGAGGGGAGGGGAGGGGAGGGGAGGGGAGGGGAGGAAAGGCAGGGGAGGGTGGGGGAGGGGAGGGGAAGGGGGGAGCGGGGCGGAGTGGTGGGGGATGGATGATGAATGGATGCATGCCCCTGAATGGATGCATGCCCCTGAATGGATGCATGCCCCTGAATGGATGCATGCCCCTGAATGGATGCATGCCCCTGAATGGATGCATGCCCCTGAATGGATGCATGCCCCTGAATGGATGCATGCCCCTGAATGGATGCATGCCCCTGAATGGATGCATGCCCCTGAATGGATGCATGCCCCTGAATGGATGCATGCCCCTGAATGGATGCATGCCCCTGAATGGATGCATGCCCCTGAATGGATGCATGCCCCTGAATGGATGCATGCCCCTGAATGGATGCATCGAGAAGTGAATGTGAAGTCATCCCTGCGACTCCTGCATGTGATGTGATGTGAAACAGGGCACACCTGGGCGAAACAGGGCACACCTGGGCGAAACAGGGCACACCTGGGCGAAACTGGGCACACCTGGGCGAAACTGGGCACACCTGTGACTCGAACTGAAACTCCATCCCAACCCCACCCCACCCCCTTTCACCCTGATCTGATTCCAAGTTGCCTCGTCCCCCCTGCCCATGCCCGCTTACCCCCCTACCCACCCCCACCCCCACCCTGCCTCACCCCAGAGACGCCAGCCCTCCAAAGTTGGCCTTCTTGAGCGGCTGGAACTCCTGCTGGCGCAGCTTGAAGAACTGACGAGTGGGGGGGAAGGGAAGAAGGAGAGGTGCGGATAGCAGGGGGGTGCAGGTGCAGAGGGATGGGAGGAAGAGCAAGGAGAAATGGGAAGGAAAGGAGACATGCCTTGTACTCTCACTCGCCCTGCACTCATACTCGCCTTGCACTCATCACCTACACTACACGCACCTCTTTCTTGTAGTCTACACCGGTCTTCATCCCCAGCTCATTAATAACCTCTTCGGCCACATTCATTAGAAGCACCTGACAGCCGCAGCAGCGAAGTGGAGGGTGGGGGATGGGGGGGGGGGGGGGGGGGGGGGGAGGGGGGGAGTTGGGATGCGTGTCTACATGGGTTCACTCCTCCTCACCTCTCTCTGATACGCTGCGCCTGTCTGTGCTCCCAGCTCCCTCTGCACTTCCTCTGCTGCGTTCAGAAGAAGGACCTGGTAGAGAGATCCCACACAGCACATGCAGTAAGTGAGCAGCAGTACGGGAGCACTTGGCAGATAGTGAGGAGAAGAGCAGAGAGAGTAGGAAGCAGTGAGCAGAGGGCTAAGAAGGAGAGAAACGAAGAGAGGCTGAAGAGGCCAGTGCAAGGGGCGAGTCTTGCAACATCTTGAGTCATCTCAAGAAGCAACCAGGAAAGGAAACAGTACCAAGGAAGGAAGGAGCGCATCATACCACATTCACTCACTCACTCAGTCACTCACTCTCACACTCACTCCCTCTCCCACTCACTCACCCACTCAACCCAAAGTTGTCTTTCATGCGTCGAATCTCCACCACACTCTTGCCATCACCCCACTGCCTTTCTCCAATCCAACCCCCACGCAGCACCCACTCCCACTGCTCTCCACCGCTCTGCACCCCCTTCAAACACCCCCACTCACCCCAAAATTGTCCTTCATGCGCCGAATCTCCACACTCTTGCCGTCACCCCACTGCCGAGCTTCCACCCCCCACGCAGCACCCACTCCCACCCCCGGGTTCCCGGCCACTGACCCTCCAACTCCAACCAGCCCCCCCGACGCAGCAAGAGAGGCTCCCAGGGCCCCCACCATCACTCCCCGCCTCCCTACTTGCTCCTCCAGTGGGGATCCTTTCTGGCACTCCTCAGACACTGTTGGTGCTGCCAACGATGGTGATGCTGGTGAAGGGGAAGTTCTGGTAGCAAACACAGTCTCCCCATGGCTCATGTCAGGACAATCAACTTCTCTGCTCTGGCTGCCAGAATCCCCGCCTTCTCTGCTCTGGTTGCAGCTGACCCATCTACTGCAACGCACATGGGTGTATCTCCCATGGGTGCATCCCCTCCTCTTCACGAGGACGCATGGGATTGTGTGGGAATGAGGAGAGTTGGAGGAGTGGGAGGCTGTTATGGGATGGGGCCATGCTGGAGGGCGTGCGAGGGCGAGAATCATAATTTCCTGGCTTCGGCGTGGCTTTGGCGTGGCTTTCCAATCACGTGGCGAAGCGCCTAGTCCAATCAGCAGCGATGCGGTCGTGTGAGGGGCGGTCAAACACAAAGCGGTGAGCAATGCACCCCACCAGCGCTTCCTCTGCGATTGATGGGACAGAGAGAGACAACCACGGGGAGAGGCAGGCAGGCAGGCAAAAAAGCACACAGAGTGGTGCGTTATTTTCCAACCCCAACCAGACAGGCACACACACACACACACACACACACACAAAGCGGTGTGCAATGCAGCCGACCAGTGCTTCCACTGCGAAACGAACGATCAGGGTGGGAAAAAGGGGGTAGAGGAGGGGGGCGAGGTGTGGAGAGAGTTTAGCAGACACACACAGCAATGCGTTATGCACCCAACATGTGCTACCCCTGCTAGGGATGAGCATATATCCGAACACCCGTTGTTCGAGACGAACCGAACGGGCTTTTTTTTTGCCCAAAAATGTTCGGCTCGAACGTGTTCGTTGTTCGTGCGAACATGTTTGATGTTCGCCAACGTCGATGTGCCGAGCCGCGTCGAACACAAACATGTTCGTGTTCGACGCGGTACATCGACGAACACCTCGGTGTTCGTCGACGAATTGGCCGTGACCTAATTTAGGGTTGCGGCCAATTCATTTGTGGCTCATTTTTTAGAGCTCCGCAACCATGTCGCCGCCAACAGCCCGCCCAGCCCACTACCACCTGCCACACCCTCACCTACTAGTACTAGCCTAGTGTGGAAGATGCTTCAATTCTTGCGTTTTGACGAGTTGATTACGACACTTAATTAGAACGTAGCCAGCCTCTACTCCGAGCGCATAAGTTGAAGTAGCAGGATACCATTAGGGTTTCCACCGTTGAAGGGGTTTCCACCGTTGAAGGGGTTTCCACCGTTAGGTTTTCCATCAAAGTGACACTCCCCTCCCCACACCTCGCAGCCGCAGCAACAGCCGCTGCAACGGCCTTTGGTGACGTTTCCATGTTAAATGCTAGGCATATCTTGGACCATGGACATGTTTTAGGCCGCACATTATTTATGCTCATCAAAGTTATTATAAACACCGTGAAGGTAAGGCAAATCACAACTAAAGTGGAAACCCTTCCACAAGGATGCATTGGTAGTGTTGTAATCATGTGTGTTGTAATGCTAAGCCCTCTGGGGCGAACACGTTCGTGTTCGCCATTGTGTTCGAAATGTTCGCCTCTCCAGGCGAACTTCGAACACCCCTTTGGGCCAAACCTGTTCGGCGAACCGAACAGTGTTCCGTTCGCCGAACGGCCCTGTTCGAGCCAAGGCGAACGAGAACACGTTCGTGTTCGCCTCGTGCTCATCCCTAACCCCTGCAAGAAAGGTGCGACCAAGGGGGAGACAGGCAAACAAGTAAAAAGATGAACGCTCCCAACTTCGATAATCAGCATTATATCATGCTGCCTAATCCCTTACATAGTGCGTCACCTGGCATGGGAAATCGGAGCAGGTGAATGACGGCTTGCAACACACGCGCAATGGTCATGGCAGGGCTCCAGCCATCGTCCAGCCAGCAGATGCAGCCGAATGAGCCCACCACACCACACCACACCATACCGGGTGCTACCTAACTTCCTTCATAGTGCCTCACCAGGAACCGGGAATTTGAGTAGGTGGATGACAGCCTGTAGCACGCGCGCAATGGTCATGGCAGGGCTCCACCCATCGTCCAGCAGGTGCAGCCGAATGCGGCCACTGGCGCTGCACACGTTGCAGTGGTACACGCGCGTGCGGAAACACACCTGGGCAGAGGGAAGGAAGGGGAGAAGAGAGGGGGGGAAGGGAAGGTAAGGGGGTGGGGTGGGGACAGGCGGGAGTGGGAGAGGTTGGCCTGCTCGAGCTGAACACGTTGCATGGGGGGAAGGAGGAGGAGGGGAGGAGAGGGATAGGGAAGGAAGGACACGTTATACTGCAGTGGTGGTGGTGCACACGTGGCACTGCAGTGGTGGTGGTGTACACGTGGCACTGCATTTGTGGTGTACACGGGGCACTGCATTTGAGGTGTACACGTGGCACTGCAGTGCGCGTGTTCCGCACGTGGCTGCTCGGCAGTGGGCGCTGTTTTCCCTCACAGATGCTGCAAGAGTCAGGAGTTTTGTGCCTACCTGTGGCGGCCTGAAGGGGTAGTCCTGGGGAAAGGCAATATCCAGGAAAAACACTCCCCCACGATACGGCGAGTCTGGAGCATTAAAAAGGAGGGAAAGGGAGAACAGGAAGGGCGTGGTGAGGGACAGGGGTCTCTCTCAAGGGGTAGTGCTGTGGGAAGGCAAGTCCGTGGGGGAAGGCAAGTCCGTGGGGGAAGGCAATCTGGAGGAAAAAACTCCTTCGCAAGTGTGAGCCCCACCGACAAGGTGCAGCGCGAGGAGGTGAAAGGGGGTCTAACCGACAGAGCCCACGTTACAGTCACACAGGCGCTGCGATATAGTCACACATAAACGCGCGAACTACCTGGCGGGCTGAGCAGCGTGGTGGAAGAGGTTGTCGCCTTTCTGAGTGGTAGGTAGGTAGAGGGATCATGGCACCCAGGCTTATGCGGCGCACGCGTTGCGTTACAGTCACACACGTGCTTGCATCAAAGGCACACTTGCACATGCTACCTGGCGGGCCGAGCAGCGTCGCGACCCAGTGGAAGAGGTTGTCGCCTTTCGGCCCCGCCCAGCAGTCCGCGGAGGGCTCCGCGCCGATGTCCGCGAGCTCCTTCTGAATGCGCTTCGCCGCCGAGCACACGGAGGCCGACAGGTTCATGAAATGCGCTGTCCGCGATACTAGTACTCGCCTGTAGCTGCTTCGTTACTGGACAGATTTGTGAAATGTGGGATCTGCAAAATGCTTCCTGTTGGGAAATGAAAAGTTGTTTTCTAATGCGGGTATCCGCCGAGCATGAAAGTAAGAAACACTATTGCGTATAAACAGGCTGACAGCGCGCACGTCGGCGGCTCCTCCTTCACGCAAAAAGCGGCGTTACAGACGAATGACTACAGAGATGACTGAATTCTCCTGTAACGGTCGGCTACGAGACACGACGCTAAGGACGCGGCACCTGTTTTGACTTTGCCAGGATCGATCGTGGGAGGGAACGATGTGCCGCCTGTACAGTGTATTGACGATGTCGTCAATGACTGGTATCCGTTTTTCGCATAAAGTCGAGAATGTACAGTAAACTGGTCACCAAAATGGTGGCACCCGCAGCCAGCACGTTCGATGTGCCATGGTGCACACATCGATCTTGCGTTTGGTTTGGCGGGAGGGCACATCGCGCCACAGGTGACATCCGCGATCGATCGGCGTCGCCTACAGTCGCAGGCAAACAATGATTGGATAACGACAAGCTGTGCTTTGCTCTGAATGGTTAACGACTAAGTTACTGGTGTATTTCGCTGCAGAACTTACCTGCCCGATCTTGCAATTTCGATCCTGGCACCCATGGCTCGACGTGTCTATCACACTACAAATTTGCAGTGTGTGCACATCGATGTGCCGATCGATGTGAGAGAATCGGTGTACCGGCTTCGATCCCCCTCGATCCTGGAAAAGACAAAACATGTGCCGCGTCCTAACGGCAAGTATACTGTGTGCTGGTAATGACGAAGCCAACGAGTAAGGCCTCAGAACCTTGGGGGAATACTTGAACACATCACGCACGAGGCTGTCGCATGACGTTGACGTGGACGTTCAGTGGCCCTACCAATCCAGAAGTGGCCTAGTCAGTAGAAAGAGGCACTTCCGATAGAAAAGGTCCTGGGATCGAACCCACCCCCGTGCAGGCGTGTTCTGCCAGACCCCAAGTAGGGGTCAGCACGTGCTCATCTAGGAATGGTTACGACCAGAAAAATAACTTCAACCTACCATAAGTGTTATGAGTTGTGAAAGAAGAGAGTGCGCAGAACTCAATAAAGCGGAAGTGATTACAACATCTGAGCACACAACGAGGCCTAGGACTAATATAGCGAGGTTGGCTAGGCCGAGGTCGCAGGGTCGCGGTGATGGTTGGGTGCAGGTTCGGGGTTGGAAAACCCGAAGGCGACGCGGTGGTGGCTCGGAAGGCGAGGTCGGCGGACCGAGCCTGGTTTTCCGAAAACCGGGGTTGTACGCGTACAGTGTGACCCAGTAAGGAATCCGGAAAATTCCTTACACTACCCCCCCCCTTAAGAAAGGTGGTGAATATCTGAGACACCGCGGCGGGCTAAATAAGCATCCAAAACCGGATGTCCCAATAGCGAATCCGCGGCGACGTACGCGTCGTCCTCGCTCGTGCGCTCCTTCCAACGAAGCAGGAATTTTACTGTGCGGCCGGCAGCAGTGACATCCACGCGATGGTTGAGAATCTTCCAAGGTTCCAGCGTGGGCTCGGCCACGGGGCGATCGGTCGGTGCGATGGGGGGCCGGGCAACAGCTGGCGACTGCGGCGGCGCATAGTGACGCAGTAGGCTGACGTGGAAAGCGTCATGAATTTTCCAGGTGTCGGGCAGCAGCAGCTTCGCGGTGACAGGTGTCACCATCTGGATGATCCGAAATGGTCCCACGTATCGAGGCCGTAGTTTTGCGGGCTGCGGCTGTCGTAAATTCTTGGTGTCCAGAAGTACAAACTGCCCTGCGCGGAAAGGCATATTCCGGCGATGTTTGTCCGCCTGGTGGCTAGCCGTGGTATTAGCTTTACGAATAAAATCAGCTGCCTTTTTGCGGGCCGTCTGAAGCTCCGTGACAAACTGCTGCGATCGTGGTACCGGGTTGTCCAGGGTCGTTGATGAGGGTACCACCGGGTCTATCCCGTAATTCAAGTAGAAGGGTGATTGTCTGGTCGTGGCCGAAGGGGCGTTGTTGTACGCGAATTCCAGCATCGGCAATGAGTCCTCCCACTTGCGAATATCCGGGCAGTTAGTGCGAATCAGTTGTTCCATGGTCTGATTTGTCCGTTCTGTCTGTCCGTCGGTTTGCGGGTGGTATGACGACGAAAACTGCAGGCGGGTACCGTACTGTGCCCACGTCTCCTGCCAGAACTTCGACGTAAATTTCGGATCTCGATCGCTGATGATCGCCGAAGGTAACCCGTGTAGACGTACGACGGTGGAGATGAAGAGCTTTGCTGTATCTTCGGCTGTGATTGTCGTTCGGCATGGTGCGAAGTGCGCCATTTTCGTGAGGCGATCGACAACGACCATGACCGAGTCGTTACCACTCACGCTAGCTGGAAGCCCCATGACGAAATCCATTGTCACGTGTTGCCACGGTCGCTCGGGTGGCTCGAGGGGTTGCAGCAGTCCGGCTGGCCTTTGTCGCGACGACTTCATTGCTTGGCAGGTCGGGCAAGTTGACACGTAGCGCTGCACATCGGTGAGCATGTCCGGCCAGTAATAATTCCGCTGCAGCAGCTTCAGTGTTTTGTCGATGCCGAAATGCCCGGAAAGGTTGGAGTCGTGAACCTCCTGCGTCAGCAGCTCCCGTAAAGGCTGGTATGCTGGTACCCAAATCCGGTTCGTACCGGCTTTTAGGTAGTACTTGCCGTGCGGTGTAGCAGCCTGTTGTTGCGGGTTCCGAAAAAACCTGTCGATCTTGTAGCCGTGGGTGAATAGTCCCGTCAGCATCGGGTTGGTGTGGGCGATTAGTACCGCCGCGTTTTGCATGGATGGTCTGGTGAGGGCGTCGGCGATGTTGTTGGCGCCTTTTTTGTACGTGATGGTGTACCGAAAATTGGACTCGAGGAAGTCCAACCACCGGATTTGTCGCGGGTTGAGTGTCGGTTGCGTGCGCATGTACTGTAGCGATTTGTGGTCGATCCGAATGGTCACGTCGGCCCCCGTAAGGTAGCAGCGCCAGACGCGGAATGCATGGACGATGGCCAGCATCTCCTTGTCGTGGACTGGGTAGTTGCATTCGGGTGGCTGCATCTTGCGTGATTCGTAGGCGATGGGTTGCAGCCCTTGGCCGAAGTCCTGTAGCAGGACGGCGCCGACGGCGAAATCGCTGGCGTCCGTGACGACTTCGAACGGTCGAGATGGGTCGGCGAGGCGGAGGACCGGGGGTGACTTCAAAATGTTTTTGAGGGCGTCGAAGGCGGACTGCTCCCTCTCCCCCCACCGAAAATCACTGTCGTGATGCAGCAGGTCGGTCAGTGGTCTGGTTATCCCTGCCATATTAGGTACAAAACGACGAACGTAGTTAACAAACCCCAAAAAGCTTTGCAACTCAGGGATATTAGTAGGCGGTTTCCACTTAACGATGGCATCGACCTTACGCGGGTCAATTTTGATCCCGTCGCCGGAAACCACGTGCCCCAAGAACTCCAATTCCGGCTTAAGAAATTCGCACTTAGACCCCTTCGTAATCAGCCGATGCCCCTGTAAACGCCGGAACACCTCCTCTAAATCCCGCAGTTTATCCTCTTTTGTTGCGCTGTACACCAGGATGTCGTCCAGATACACGATGACTTTCTTGTCCAGCATGTCCCGAAAAATCCCGTTCATGGTGAGCTGGAACGTCGAGGGCGCGTTTGTCAGACCGAACGGCATCACTGTGAACTCGTAACTGCCGTAGCGTGTGCGGAATGCTGTCTTCGGGCAGTCGTCGGCGAACACGCGAATTTGGTGGTAGCCTCCTCGCAGGTCGATTTTCGAAAAATACCGAGCTCCGCGAAGTTGATCCAGCAGATCGTCGGTTCGCGGGATCGGGTAACGCGATTTTATCGTGACCCGATTCAGCGCCCGATAATCAATGCACATGCGTAGGCCCCCGTCCTTCTTCGGCGTGAACAGTATCGGCGCTGCATACGGCGACGTGCTTGGCCGGATGAATCCCTTGGCGAGCAGGTAATCCAGCTGGGCCCGCAACTCGGCGAGCTCTGGTTGGCTGAGCCGCCACTGTGTCCGAACAGTAGGTTGCGCTCCTGGCTCCAGCTGGATCCGATGATCCTCAGGTCGTTGGGGGGGCAAGCCATCCGGGAGGTCATCCGCGAAAATTTCGGGATACTTCCGAATGATGCCCGCCAATTCCTCGGGGACTGCCGCGCAGAGGGTGTCGATGTCCGCGATTTTCTCGGAAGCTGCCACCTCGTACAGGTGCACCAAGAAGGTCTGAGCTCCGCTGTTCATCGCACGCTGCATGTTGACCGCGTTGACACGTGTCGTCACCGGCTCCGGCTCCGTCCATTTCGGAAGCGTCGTCTTCCCTCCGTATCCTCGCACGACGCACGCCCCAGTCGTCCAGTCGATCGTCGGATTGAATCGCTGTAGCCAATCCCTCCCCAGCAGCACATCGCAGCCGTCCAACGTCGTCGCCAACATTCTCATGCCAAACCCGAATTTGTCGCCGCACTGTATCCGAATTTTTCGCGCTTCATCTCGGATGGCTAGTGGTGTCCCATCCACCAGCCTTGCATCGATCTCCGGCAGACACCTGGTCAGCTTCACCCCTATTTTTTTGGCCGTTGCCAGGTTGACGAGACTGTGGCTCGCCCCACCGTCAACGAATATTTTTATTTTATAACCGTTAACCCTCCCCACCACCAGCACAGGGTAGTCCACGTGTTCACCCACGTTATTCGTCCGGTTCTGGTCGATAGCTCTGATCGGTACCACGACCCGGTGTGGATGGTGATTGTCGGGCGACAGGGTCTCGTCAGTAGGTGGCCCTTCTGCTACTGACTCACATCTTTTCCCGACCCTTCTCCGTCGTTCTTCTTCCCCTGCTTAAGCCTCGGGCAGTCTTTTTTCAGGTGGCCCAGCTGGTTGCATTGAAAGCACGGCCCAAGGGCTCGGCTTGGTGCATCCACGCCGTTGATCGTGGGCTGCTGAGTCGATCCACGAAATCGAGGGCCCTCCCGGGAGCTCGATCTCGCCCACTGCATCAGCGCATCCGTTGACTCGGCTTCCCGGACGGCGTCGTTGAAGCTGCGTGGCCGGGTTCGTCGGACCTCGTACTGTATCTCGTATTTCAGGCCCGCCACGTAGCGATCCAACCGCTCCGCATCGCTCATGTCGTCCACTTGGTCCGCCAAGTTGCAGAATTTGCTGGTGTAGTCTTGGACCGAAGCCAGCTGCTTCCAGGTACGCAGCTGCATGCGAGCAGAATCCGAGGCGGATATGTGCTCGAATCTGGTTCGCAAGGCGGCGCCCCACTCCTTCCATGTGCGTATCGTGGCCGTCCCGAAAATTGATGTTGCCTGATGCGTGACAGGTGTTGAAGTCCCGTCGTTCGCACGTGCTATTCCTGCCGAAGTCCCTTCGTGCTGCAGCGTTCGCCTCCACCACTCCAGAGCTGGTCCTCGCAACAGTGAAACTGCGAAATTAATGCGGGTGGCAGCATAAATCATGGCAGCATTAAAAAACACCTCCACGCCGAACAACCATGCAGAAACAGTGACGAACTTGTCGCTCGGGTTGAACGGGGGCGGGTTTGTCGGCTTGATTTTCACGAAAGCCGTTCCTGCCATCGGGGCCGTTGGCATCGCTGCTGGCGTCGCCGTTGTTGTCACTGCTGCACGTGTCGGTGCTGCACGCGACTGTTGCGGTGACTGTTGCTGCTGCGCCTGCCTCGCCTCGTCCGCATCCATCTCGCCTTCCAGCTCGCTCCAGACCCGCTCATCTGGTGCAGTGCTGCTACTTGCGTCGTCCACGACAGGCGACTCCTGACGCGCTTCACCACGCGTCTGGTGTAGTTTGGCGTTTTCCTTCCGAAGACGCTCCACTTCTGCAGACATAGTCAGCATGTCGGCCTGCATCGTCCGGAACTGTTGCATGAACTCGTTGAACTCCGCCTGGTCCATGTGTCGCAGGCTTCGTCTAACGGGCAGGGGGTGGCTAGCGATTTTTCTGACTTCGGTGAAGGCGTTAATGCTATCGTAGTCGGAGTGGAATAATCGGATCTATTCCACGGGCCGACCGCTTAACAGCCCACCAAGTCTATCGCTCCCCTTCTACAAACTACCCCGGAAACGCGAGGGTAACCTAGGAAAGTAGCTCTGATACCAAGTGTTATGAGTTGTGAAAGAAGAGAGTGCGCAGAACTCAATAAAGCGGAAGTGATTACAACATCTGAGCACACAACGAGGCCTAGGACTAATATAGCGAGGTTGGCTAGGCCGAGGTCGCAGGGTCGCGGTGATGGTTGGGTGCAGGTTCGGGGTTGGAAAACCCGAAGGCGACGCGGTGGTGGCTCGGAAGGCGAGGTCGGCGGACCGAGCCTGGGTTTCCGAAACCGGGGTTGTACGCGTACAGTGTGACCCAGTTAGGAATCCGGAAAATTCCTTACAATAAGTTCGCGCAGTAACATTCTTTTTGTTACCCTGTGCATTCGATCACAAGGACAGAATGGAGTTTTGCAATTCGGTACAGGCTCGGAACGGTTTGCGATGCAATTTCCTTGATACATTACGTGATCCACCGCGTTCCCGTGGGCTCAATTCAGTCCATACCCAACTCTTCAACCCAACCGAAAACTGGTTCGACACGACAGACTGGCAGCCACCACTCTCCCAAAGCTATTCCCATGAGTACGGGTCAATTTCGAATCAAACTAGGGAAAGTGCATTATTGTTCGGTCAGTTTCAGATTACAGTACTTGAACCCTTGACACTGCGAAATGAAATCCTTCAGGGACAAAAGTACCCTCTTAGTTTGGGCTTTGGGTTGGTTGGATTGGATTGGGATGGAACTGAGGGTGGGGTCGGGCGAGAATACATTTGCGGTTCACGTATAAATTGTCAGTGTGGTAAGAAACGGTTCAAGGTGGTTAAGATAAAGTACCGTTGCATTAAGCCCCAGCATCGTTCTCAACCGCTACAACTGAACAGAAAGGTCGCCTGCACTGACGAATCGTGGCGCAAACCGAGCCTGCGTAAACTACCAATCACGTCAGCGCGACATGCTCATCTTGACTGGCATGACATGCATGTTTGGGATGGTGGTGGTGCTTCATCTTCTTGACTCTTATCTTTCAATCCGCTCCCTCACTTCGCTGCTTCCTTCCTCCACTCCCCGTCCTCAGAGCAAACGGCATTCAAGAAACACCACACCCAGCCTTGTATATCTGGCTCACCATTTCTCTCTCGTCCATTCCTTTCTGTTTCACCCTCTTTCTTCGCTTTCGGCTTCTGAAATCAGACCTGCTTCTCTCTCACACCCGCTTCGCAGCGCCACCGGTGAACTGAATAATGGTAATGTTGTTTGTCATACTACTAGTAAATGCGGCTGAGAATGCTGCATTCCTATGATAGAACTAAAAGCTTTGCGATGTCTGACGGCGAAATCGTGAGGGCCGTTGGGCGTGCCGCATGATTACGCCGCCTGATGCTCTGCATTGATCTCTGCAGATCAGCTCCTAAAAACTCGCCACTTACTGATGCGGCCTCACTCATGGCGCATACAGACAGCATCATCGTTCGCAGTGTGTGTGTGTCTCCGTTTTTTTTTTTCTTCTTCATAGGTTCGAAAAAACTAAGTAAAATAAAATGATTCGGAGTAACTGGTGGTTGAGCCGCTGGTCATGCCGCATTACGTCTAGACGGCTCACTTCAACGCCCTTTTCAGACGTTGGGCGTGTCAAAGCCTTTTTCCAGAATGTGCTGCTGGTCCGCGGCCCGCGTCGCCAGTGCGCGCCCATTGCGCCTTCCGCGGAACTCGCAAGGTTCGCCGCGATGCCGCGCCGCGGCGCGGAAGGTGCCTCAACGCACGAGTCAGGTCTGAGGCGTTTCGGCCTCGCGTGACGCGTTTTTATCCTTTGAGGCGCCTCACACGTCATCATCGTCTCACACGTCATCATCGTCTCACACGTCATCATTCGCCTCACACGTCATCATCGCCTCACACGTCATCATCGCCTCACACGTCATCATCGCCTCACACGTCACCATCGCCTCACGCGCCACCACGACCTCGCGTGGCGCCCTCGTTCTATCACCTTGTTCTCCTCGATTCCCCTCTCCGAGTTTTCGCGGTCGCGCGTTTCGTGAAAGAGTCGCAATGCGGCGTTTCGTGGTGCTGGTTAGGTCGCGAGTTACGTGAACACTACAATTACACGATTTCCCACCTCTCACACAATCCCTCCTCTTTCCCCCCGCTTCTTCCCCCCCCCCCCCCCCCCCCCCCCCCCCCCCGCTTTCCCCTTCCCACCTCCCCGTTGACACATGCTGCTCTCTCCCCGTTGGCAGGAGGCCCTTTCGAACTTCGCCAACTACCTGACACGTGGCGTGCAGCGACGGGTGGAGATGATGGTGGCGTACAAGGTGGAGGCCAAGCTGGACAGATACATCCCCGACGGATTCGTAAGCCTCTGAACCGAACCGAGTTCTGAATTGACTCTCGAAAGAGAAGCAAACCCGGGGAACTGAAACGTCCAAGTACCCGTATTTGGAGGAGAAGAAATCAAGTAGTGATTACACCTCCGACGGATTCGTAAGCTTCTGACCCGAGGCTTTTGAGAATCCGAACATTCTGGGGCAAGATCCTGTCCCCATCCCCATCCCCATCCCCATCACCATTTCCATCCCCATCCCCATCACCATTTCCATCCCCATCCCCATCCCCATCCCCATCACCATTTCCATCCCCATCCCCATCCCCATCCCCATCACCATTTCCATCCCCATCCCCATCCCCATCCCCATCACCATTTCCATCCCCACTCCCAGACGTGATGACGATGCGCATCTCTCGCCACATCTCCTCAAGACTTGCTCCTGTGTTCCCGATGCCATTCCCCTCCCCACCACCCGTTTCTCCCCCACCACCCGTTTCTCCCCCACCACCCGTTTCTCCCCCACCACCCGTTTCTCCCCCACCACCCGTTTCTCCCCCCCGCCCCCCCTCTCCTCCCATTCACCCCCCAGTCATACAAGGACGCGATCAAGATGCAGATCTCTCAGCAAGCTCCCATCCCTCACTCCGTCCTCGTTCCTCCCCTATCAACTCCCCCCTCCCCTCCCCCTTCACCCTCCCTCCCTGTCTTCCCCCCTTCGCCCCCCTCTTTCCTCGTCAACCCCCAGTCATACACGGACGCCGTCAAGATGCAGATTGCAATCTACATCGCCAAGGGCCTTGTCGCGCCCTACTTCCCCCCAGAGGATGCTGAGCAGGAGGCTCGGGAGGCGGAGGAGGAGGCTCGGAAGAGGCTCGAGGAGGAGAAGAGGAAGAAGCAGGAGGAGGGGGAGGAGAGCAGCGGGTTCTGGAGCCTATTTTCGTGGGACGATGGGGAGGAGGAGGAGGAGAAGAAGAAGGAGGAGAAGAAGGAGGCTGAGTCGTACCTCATGAGCTTCTTCCACAAGAAAGTGGTGCGTTGCTGCTGGGTTGGGTTGGTTGGGTCGGGTTGGGTTGGGTTGGTTTGGGTTGGGCTGGTTTGGGTTGGGTTGGGTTGGGACGATGGGGAGGCTGAGTCTTACCTCATGAGCTTCTTTCACAAGAAAGTGGTGCGTTGGTCATGGGTTGGGTTGGGTTGGGTTGGGTTGGATGTGTGGCTGGGCAGAGAGGGTTATGTTACGCAGGCTGTGGGACTGGGCTGGTTCGGGCTGCATGGGTGGCGGGGGGGATGGAGTTCTGCCTTCATCCCTTCATCCCTTCAAGACTTCTGTCACCCCGTCGCCACCTTTGCCATCTCGGTGTGATGACTTGACTGTATGCAATGCTCATCAACTTGTTGCGAATTTCGTTTCATCATCCTTTTGCATTCCTTCTCATTTTCCAGGATGACAAGTCAAAGATGGTAAATGCATCTGCTGTTCACCATGCATCTGCGCAGTTCTTATACTTTCGCCATTCACCATCCTGTTGCGATCTCACCACCTTGCTGTGACCTCATGTGCCAGGATGAGAAGTCAGAGGCGGCAAAGGCAGAGGCAGAGCGGATCGCAGCCGCACGATACGCACAGAAGAAGGCCGAAGCAGAGGACGCAGCAAAGGAGGAGGAAGAGGAGCAGGGTGTGCTTGCGACCATCAGCAACTTCTTCAGCTAGAGAGTGGTTACAGGCGAGGGAAACACAAGCCTAGTCTTGATGCTATTCTAGGGAAGCATGCAACGCAGCTAAGAAGCGCCTCCCTGTCCCCACGTGCTACTAACTCAGCTCCCTCCCAGCCCAGCTAGGTCTGGCTGGACATTATTCTCCATAGCACCCTTATTAAAATGCCAATGGAACAAAACAAAAATACCACCACCTTTAACTAGTACCACCACCAAGTACATCCCTGTTGTTGGCCAGCGCGTACCGTCATACCCCGGATAGAAGCGCAGGCCTATGATAAGCGCCGGCGCTTATAAAAGGATGAGGGCGCTTATATCCGGTCCTCGATTATAAGCGCACCCCTGAAGGCTTACGGATTATAGGCGCCACCCTTTGTAATGTTTTCTTATATGTTTACTAGAAACGCTGCAACGAAACACGATTTTCCATTCCCACATTCAGAATTTCGAATCCCTTCACCCTCGCGCGACTCAATGCCTTCGCGTCCAGTCAGAATGAGCTGTCATGGGGTCAATCTGACTCATTCTGACTGTGTGTGTTGGCATGGAATCAGCCACTGCCAATTCACGCGAAATTCACATTCATTGCCCTCTACAATATCGATTCGATTCAAATCGCAAGGACGAGATGAACACTTTGGTGTAAAAAAAACTAGATTTCATCTATGTAAGCCCCGGCGCTTATAAATTTCCTCAATTATAAGCGCACCCCCTAAAAAACAGTGTTTTATTTCAACCCCAGCGGCGCTTCTATCCGGGGTGTGACGGTACAAGTGTCGGCAGGCAAACAGGCACAGGCTTACACCACTAATGCTCCCTACCCTGCACTAGTTTCATTTGTGCCAAAATGCTTCGCAGGCCACCTTGAAAGAGCACTGCTGGGGGGAAGCATTGCCAGAGAACCTGACACTTTTCCGAGACCGTGCCGTGTGAGCCGCAAACAGACACAGCACTGCTCTCCACCACTCTGCACCACCTTTGCACCATTCCCCTTCTGAGCTCACTGACAGGATAGCTAGCTACTGCCTGCAGCAGCTTTCTTCGCCTTCATCCCACTGACTACCTTCACAGCACTGGAGGGATTGGCAGCAGAAACACCCCCCTCCTTCACATTACACTGCTTCTTCTTCCAGCCTGTATCCCCACCACCGCCACTGCTGGGCGCTGGCATGGGCTAGCTAGCTACTGCCTGCAGCAGCTTTCTTCGCCTTCTTCCCACTGGTCACTTTCACAACGCTGGACAGGAGGGAGTGGCAGTGTGGGCAGCAGACACACCACCCAAACCAATGTGGGCAGCCGACACACACATCACCACCCTCCACCACTCCCCACCACCTATATTCCTCTTCAGCATTCTCTAGCTACTGCCTGCAGCAGCTTTCTTTGCCTTCTTCCCACTGGCCACTTTCACAGCACGGGGGGGAGTGGCAGTGTGGGCAGCAGACAGCCACAGCACCACCTCCACCACCACTCTCCACCACCTTACACCGTTCCCATTTTAGCATTACAGCCTAGCCACTGCCTGCAGCAGCCTTTTTTTGCCTTCTTCCCACTGACCACCTTCACAGCGCTGGGGGGAGTGGCAGTGTGGACAGCAGAAACATCCCCCTCCTGCACCTTCCGCTGCTTCTTCTTCCCTCCTGCATCCCCACCGCTGCTGGGTGCTGGCATGGGCTAGCTAGTTTCTAGCTGCAGCAGCTTTCTTTGCCTTCTTCCCACTGGCCACCTTCACAGCGCTGGGGGGAGTGGCTGTGGCTGTGTGGGCAGCAGACACATCCCCCTCCTTCACCTTGCGCTTCTTCTTCTTCCCTCCTGCATCCCCACCGCTGCTGGGTGCTGGAGATGCCTCGGGTGCTGCTGTAACAGTAGCCCCAGGTGCGACTGGTGTCCTGTGCTCTGCTAATACTAATGCTCCTGCTGCTCCTGCTGCTCCTGCTGCTGGGTCTGCTTTATGTTTCTTCTTCTTCTTCCCGCCTGCATCCCCCATGGGTGCTGCCACGGCCGAAGGAGCTGGGGATGCCTCGAGGGTTGCAGGGGCATTGGTGCCAGCGGGGACTGGTGTCTTAGGCTCTGCTAGAACTAATGCTCCTGCTGCTCCTGCTGCTGCTGCTGCTGCTGCTGCGGCTGGTGCTGCTGCTTGGTCGGCTTTACGCTTTTTCTTTGGTGTGGAGGCGGGGAGAGTGCTGCTGGCACGAAGGGGGCGGGGCGGGTGTCAGAAGACAGGGAAAGGGAGGGGGGAAAGGGAGGGGGGAAAGGACAGAAGAGGGGGAGGAAGAGGAAAGGCAAACGGGCAAGGGATGAGAAGGTGAAAGGGACTGACACATGGAGACAAAACATGAGGAGCGAGAAAAAAGTTAGCGTGGAATAGATTTTATGTGGTTCAAGCATGGTGCATGGTGCATGGTGCATGTTGCGTGGTGCATGGAGCATAGGGCATGCTGTGTAGTGTGTAGGGCATAGTGTATGGTGCATAGGGCATGGTACATGGGCATGGTGCATGGAGCATGGAGCATGGAGCATGGCTCATGGTACAGGAACCAGACTAACCAGCACAGCAGAAACTGCAAAAAGGGCTAGAGAAGTGGAAAGAAAGGAGAGGATGAGGGGAGGAAGGCACATGGCACATGGCACATGGCACATGGCACATGGCACATGGCGCATGGGACATGGCACATGGCGCATGGCACATGGCGCATGGCACATGGCGCATGGCACATGGCACATGGCACATGGCACATGGCACATGGCACATGGCACATGGCGCATGGCACATGGCACATGGCGCATGGGACATGGCACATGGCGCATGGGACATGGCACATGGCGCATGGCACATGGCACATGGCACATGGCACATGGCGCATGGCGCATGGGACATGGCACATGGCGCATGGCACATGGCACATGGCACATGGCGCATGGCGCATGGGACATGGCACATGGCGCATGGCACATGGCACATGGCGCATGGCACATGGCACATGGCACATGGCACATGGCACATGGCACATGGCGCATGGCACATGGCACATGGCGCATGGGACATGGCACATGGCGCATGGCACATGGCACATGGCGCATGGCACATGGCGCATGGCACATGGCACATGGCGCATGGCGCATGGCACATGGCACATGGCACATGCCGCATGGCGCATGGGACATGGCACATAGCACACGGCACAGAACATGGCACACGGCACAGAACATGGCACACGGCACAAAAGGATGAAGCATTGAAGTAAGCACGTACCTTTGCGGTTCCACTACTGCCAACTGCAGCTGCTCCTGTTGCTCCTGCTGCTTGTTGTGCCAATGCCCATGCCCATGCCCATGCCCATGCCCGTGCCCATGCCCATGCCCATGCCCATGCCCATGCCCGTGCTTGTGTCTGCCCGTGTGGTGGTGTCTGCTGCTCCTCCGTTCCTTGCAGTGTGCTGCCAGCCACTCCACACACCCCGTGTCTGGATCATCTAGCGACCCTCTGATGGACATCAACGTGCCGTCCCCTGTGGCACTGGGAATCAGAATGGGGGCGAATTGACAGCAGGGAGCAGCAGGGAGGGAGAATGAGAGAGGGTTGAGTGAGTGAGCCCTGTGCTGCCAGCCACTCCACACACCCCGTGTCTGGATCATCTAGCGACCCCCTAATGGACATCAACGTGCCATCCCCTGTGGCACTGGGAATGGTGATGGGAATGGGAACGGGAACGGGAACGGGAACGGGAACGGGAATGGGAATGGGAATGGGAACGGGAACGGGAATGGGAATGGGAATGGGAATGGGAATGGGAATGGGAGTGGGAATGGGATGGGGCACTGGGGATGGAAAAGGGAATGGGAATGGGAATGGGAACGGGAACGGGAATGGGAATGGGAATGGGAATGGGAATGGGAGTGGGAATGGGATGGGGCACTGGGGATGGAAAAGGGAATGGGAATGGGAATGGGAAAGGGAATGGGAAAGGGAAAGGGAATGGGAAAGGGAAAGGGAATGGGAATGGGAATGGGAATGGGAATGGGAATGGGAATGGGAACGGGAACGGGAATGGGAATGGGAATGGGAATGGGAGTGGGAATGGGATGGGGCACTGGGGATGGAAAAGGGAATGGGAATGGGAATGGGAAAGGGAATGGGAAAGGGAAAGGGAATGGGAAAGGGAAAGGGAATGGGAATGGGAATGGGAATGGGAATGGGAATGGGAATGGGAATGGGAATGGGAATGGGAATGGAAATGGGAATGGGAAAGGGAATGGGAGTGGAAATGAGAATGGGGCACTGGGGATGGCGACGGGAGCAGCAGGGAGGGGGAATGAGTGAGGGTTGGTTGGGTTGGGTGAGTCTTGTGCTGCCCTGCCACCTGCACTTGCATCAGTGAGCCATCGGAAATGCGGTGGGAGGGAATGCAAGAACCAACCACCTGCGGAACCAACCACCTGCGGAAGCAACCACCTGCGGAAGCAACCACCTGCGGAAGCAACCACCTGCGGAAGCAACCACCTGCGGAAGCAACCACCTGCGGAAGCAACCACCTGCGGAAGCAACCACCTGCGGAAGCAACCACCTGCGGAAGCAACCACCTGCGGAACCAACCACCTGCGGAAGCAACCACCTGCGGAAGCAACCACCTGCGGAACCAACCACCTGCGGAAGCAACCACCTGCGGAAGCAACCACCTGCGGAAGCAACCACCTGCGGAAGCAACCACCTGCGGAAGCAACCACCTGCGGAAGCAACCACCTGCGGAAGCAACCACCTGCGGAAGCAACCACCTGCGGAAGCAACCACCTGCGGAAGCAACCACCTGCGGAAGCAACCACCTGCGGAACCAACCACCTGCACTTGCACGTGCATCTGTGAGCCATCTGAAACGCGGTGGGACTCTATTCATTCTCACCAACCACCAAGCCTCCCATCCCACATGCTGCATTGCACCCAGCACTCTCACGTGCCCACCTGCACTCGATTGTTTTGAAAACAAGGCGAAGCTACTCCTGAGTGCACTTTTCAGACGCCTCAAAAGTCATCCAGCCCTCCCACATGGTCACCTGCGCTCGAATGTTGAGACGTCTCATCTCAACAAGGAGAAACTACCTCTAAGCGTATTTGCACTGGAATGCGACGTGTGAGGCGCCTAGAAAAGTTGCTCCATTGAACCCAGCCCTCCCTCTCACATGCCCACCTGCACTCGAATGCTGAGTTGAGATGTCTCATCTCAACAAGGAGAAACTACCTCTAAGTAAACAGAAACTCACCTTGCTATTTTTGAGTCGACTCAAAAGCAGACTCAAGAAGGAGAAGCTACCTCTAAGCGTACAGAAACTCACCTGGCCACTTGCACTTGAATGCGAGTGCTCACAGAAATGGGGTGGGAGGGGTCGTCCTTGTGCTGCCAGTGGTGCATGGTGCATTGCTTTGCATGCACCTGCCGCTCTCTCTCACCTGCCGCTCTCTCTCACCTGCCGCTCTCTCTCACCTGCCGCTCTCACCTTGCTACTTGCAGTCGGATTCGGGACCCAACGGAAATGCGGTGGGAGGGGTCCTCTTTGTGCTGCCAGTGCTGCTGCTGGCCATTGTCCTCGTCGGCGTCATCGGCGGCGGCCTGGGAGGGAAGGATGATATGAGATGAGAGAGAGAGCACGAAACGGGAGGAGAGGGTGAAAAAACGGATGGGAAAAAGGACGAGGTGGGCGGAGGAAGGGGTGCACTGCAGCGCATGAACTGGCCGGGCACAGCGGTGTTGAAGACTACATACAGACAGACAGATGAACATGCATACATAACATATGCGCGTGCAGTGCACACATCAAGTGCACTGCAATGCACTGCACCCACCTCCACATGCTGCCAGGACCGCATGAACTGGTCAGGGACAGCGGCGTTGAAGAGAGAGACACATGAAGAGAGAGACACATGAAGAGAGAGACACATGAAGAGAGAGACACATGAAGAGAGAGACACATGAAGAGAGAGACACATGAAGAGAGAGACACATGAAGAGAGAGACACATGAAGAGAGAGACACATGAAGAGAGAGACACATGAAGAGAGAGACACATGAAGAGAGAGACACATGAAGAGAGAGACACATACTCACATAACTCAATTGCATGTATGCAAGTGCGCAAGTGTGCAGTGCACTGCCCTGCACCCACCTCCACGTGGTGCCAGGAGCGCATGAACTGGCTGGGCACAGCGGAGTTGAAGACAGACAGAGGTGCAGATGACCATGCATACTCATGCACACATCAAGACAAGCGTGCACTGCACTGCACTGCACTGCACTGCACTGCACTGCACTGCACCCACCATTACCACGTGTTGCCTTGAGCGCATGAACTGGTGGGCACAGCTGCGTTGAATACAGACATGCATGCTGCCAGCAGCAATGCACCCACCCTCACCCACCCACCTCCGCCACGTGGTGCCAGGAGCGCATAAACTGGTCTGGTACAGCGGCGTTGAATACGCCCAGCACGAGCAGACCGATGAAGTCCGCCCCCACATTGTTCACCACGCCCTCTGAGAGGAGAGGGGGAGAGGCACGGAAGCAACAGTAGTGAGCAGAGCAGCACAAGCAGACCAATGAAGTCCGCGCCCATATTGTTCACCACGCCCTCATTGTTCACCACGCCCTCTGAGCGGGTGAGCGGAAAGGGGGGACGGGAGGAGAGGGGGAAAGGATGTGGGGGCAGGTAGGGGGAGAGGCACGGAAGCAGCAGTAGTGAGCAGAGCAGCACGAGCAGACCGATGAAGTCCGCGCCCGTATACTCCCTCTGAGAGTGCGAGGCGAAGGATAGGGAGTGGGTGGGTAGGGGTGAGGGGAGGGGAGGGGAGGGGAAAGAGAGGTGGGACAGGTAGGGGCAAGGGACACGGGAGCAGCAGGGCTGAGCAGAGCAGCGCGAGCAGAGTGATGGCGTTGTTCACCACTCCCTCTGGAAGGAGAGGGGGGAGGAGTAGGGAGGGGTAGGGAGGGGTAGGGAGGGGTAGGGTGGGGTAGGGAGTGGGGAGAGGCACGGAGGCAAAAGTAGTGAGCAAAGACACACTAGCACAGGGGGGTGGGAGGGGAGGAAAAAGGAGGCTGGGCAGGTAGGGAGAGGATTCACCATCCCCAACTCACTCCTCAATGCTTACTCTCCTCACTCCTTACTCCCCACTCCCCACTCTTCACTCCTCACCCCTCACTCCTCCCTAGTCCCTCCTCCCCCCTCACTCACTCCTCACTCATTCCTTCTCATTCCTCGTTCCTCCCTCCTCACACCCTACTCCCTACTCCCCACTCCCCACTCCCGACGCCCCTGCTCCGCTCCCGGGCTGCCTCACTCACCGAGAAAGGCTCCTGGCCGCGGCGCGAAGAGCAGCAGGCGCGCGGAGAGGTTGACGTGTAGGTAGGGGTTGAGTCCGGTTAGAATGGATGCTGTGCGGCCGAATAGCAGCACGTTGGAATAGGCCAGCACGATCCCGCCGTGCTGCTCGCTGTACCTGAGCGAGGGAATGGCAGGGGGGAAGGCAGGGGGAAAGGGCAAGCCGCAGGGGGAAGGGGGGGTGGGTCAGAGCAAGTGAGTAGGGGGTTTGTTGCCGTCAGACGTACAGAAAGTCGCAAATGCTGACTGGGAGCCCCACGCGCGTTGGAATAGGCCAGCACGATCCCGCCGTGCTGCTCGCTGTACCTGACAGCGAGCGAGTGGGGTAGGGAGGGATGAGAACAAGTGAGAAGGGATTCGATTTCCGGAATGGTGAATGGGGTGTTCCACGTGGCAGCTGGAACAGGCCAGCCCTGTGCTCCCATACTCGTTGCCGTATCGGACGGTGGATGTGTCGCGCCGCGTGCTGCGCGTTCATCCCCATCCGATCAGTTGTTATTTTCTTTCGTCTCGCTCAAACCGCTTCCTAAACACCGCAGCTCGCTGGAAATATGTCACGGGAACGCGTGCTGCGCGTTCATCCCCATCCGATCAGTCGTTATCTTTCGTGCATTTGCGAGTTCTTGAAGCGCAGCTGTTACGGGGCGGACAAAGGTCGCTCGCAGCAGGTGCGAACGCGGACGGCGATTCTTGAAGAATCAAAATGCTCGGAGCGGAGAGTTCTCAAAAGGCTCGCAACAGATGTCATGTAACGCGAGTGCATGCGAGAAACCCTAATCTCCAAATCAAGGAGAATGGCGGGTCACACGAAGCGAGAAGCTTTAAGAGATAAACGAGATATTCTGCGACTCACGACACGAGCGAGTGAAGCACTACCGCATGAATCATTCGCTGCTAACTCAACTCCTGCCACTACATTCCCCGACCGCCAGCCAAGGAGACCATCAGTGCTAGTGACATTTCGTGCTACATCCCGGGCCGCCAGCCATCAGTGCTAGTGACCTTCCGTACTACATCCCGGGCCGCCAGCCATCAGTGTTAGTAGTATTACCGCATGAGTGAGTTGTTCAGCTGCTCCTTCACTCCGGCTACTACATTGCCGGATCGTGACGGGTGGATATTCAAGGTTAAACGCGTCTCGACCTCTCGGAGCGACGTGCGGTCCACCGCTGCTCCTCGGGAGCCCATCGTCATAGGGCGTTTCCGCGTTAGAGCCTTACAACACGCTCGCCATACGCTGTAACGGCTGCCTTATTAGCGCGCTCGTTTTCTGTGGTAACGGCGGCTCTGTTTTCTCCCGTGATGCGTTGGTGCGCTTCGTTATCGTTAGGTTAGCAGACCGAGGCTAGTGTGATAGTGAACGTCCATATTTCTCTGATTCTGTACCTCAAAACCCTCGGGGTTTGGGGATTCGGGCTTCATCGTTACGATTGCACTGATCGCGAAGGAACAATTTGTTACGAGCAGCATTTTTGTCACGAACAACGATCGTTCAAACGAGGAACGAGTTTTTCCCATCAGTACTGCACTGTACCCGTATGCGCCTCGGCAGCAGCCGCCACGGCGGCACATTGAAGTTGCCATTCCCGGGCAAGTTGTTGTGAAGAAGCTCTTGGTTGCCCCGCGTCTCGTCTGCCAAGATGTGGTCTAGTTCTGAGCCTTTTTCCCGAAGCTAGGGGTTACCGTAGCTGTAACATCGAACCAAACTGCAACCTGATTGGACGATTTTGACTTCTCGACTTTGGTCGAGAACTTTCGCGAGATTCGCACTATACCCAAATGCTCGCAGGCATTCTGTAGTGTTCGTGATGGAAAAGTTTGTGGTTACCCCGTAATGGATATCTAAGCAGCATACAGTATCCCTCGCTGGCAAAAGCATTTCTTCGCAGAAATCTTTGGTTGGATCGCGTTCAAGGCCTTCGTTTGACCGCAAGCAACATAATGCAATTGTCCAACATATAAATCACTCCCGCCGCAAGTCCCGCAAGTCGCGCAAACAACCCTGGCGTGCGCGAGCGCGCAACTGGTACTAGAAGCGGAAGCATTTCCGCCCTGCGCCCCATCGCAGAGTTTGGATCTCGTTCCGTCAAATAGAATCGTTGACTAATAACGTTCTCTGACCTCCTCCCCATCGCTTTTCCTCCGCGTCATCGCCGCCCCCTCGCCCGTTTCCCTTTCGCGCCCTTCCCCTCATGTCGGAACTCGCTACACCTCTTACCTGTTGGAGAGGATTACCGACTCCTACTACCCAACACGATCGCGTGACAGAAGGGTTGAGCCAATGCACGGCGTTTCAGGCCGGCGCAGGCGATTCCCCTCCCACCCCAAACTCCCTCCTTACGCGGGCCGCTGTGCGTTCCTGCTGCGCCGCCTACTTTTGTCCGCCCTACCCTTTTCCGCAACGAAAGGCGTTGCATTATCTGCGAATCCGCAGCGCGGCCGTAGTGAGGCTGATTGAATTATATGAATAATAAATCAATGCGCGATTGACCACCCACTCATTTTCAGCACATAAATCGACGCCCGCTCGGAAGTCGCTCTCACATTCTCACACCGCAGCTCGCTCATTGCGTGCCTTCGTCTCCTCCCTTCTGAGTCGTTCGTTCTTTCGAGATCCCACCCAATCATCTCACCTCGTCGCGACTACCAGCGACCTCACGTGACGTGAGTCGCGGCAGTTCGAAAGAAGCTGAAGCGTTTCGCCATTCATCCCGTCGCCGTGATCGTCGAGCGTTTCAAGTTGACCCCTGTCTCCCCCGTTGCCCCGGGTCGTCTCCCCGGTTTTCCCGGGCCGTCTCCGCTGTTTCTTCGGGTTGCCTCCTCTGCTGTCGTCATGAAGCCCTACGGGCGGCTGTCTCACTTCGGCCTCGCCGCACTCGTCGCGGGTCTCGTCGCCATCAGCTTCCTCGCGACCCACGCCAGCGCTGCTGATGGTGAGTAGGCTGACTGCCACACACCACTGACAGAGCCACGGCACCCAACTGCTTCTCCTCGCTGTGACTGCCACTGTGGGCCGGGCAGAGTGTGGGTGAGGGCAACTATATTAGAAATATCTCCGCACTTGTAACCCATGTTCCCTGCTTGACCTCGAAACAACCCGTGATTTTCTTCCTGTGCAGACGTGTGCGGCAACAAGGACTGCGGGACCGACGCTGAGTGCATTGCGACTGCTGATGGCACTGCTGTGTGCCAGTGCTTTGATGGTTCTAACTTCAGCGATCTCGACAAGACATGCGATGGTGGTGAGTGCTGGCGTGTGGGTGAGTGCTGGCGTGTGGGTGGGTGCTGGCGTGCGGACGAGTGTTGTAGTGTGGGTGAGTGTGACGTCATTAGCGAAATCTCCATTGTTGTAACCTCTTTCTTCTACTTTATATTGCAACAACCCTTGATTTCCCGTGCAGATGTGTGCGTCAACAAGGACTGTGGGACCGATGCTGAGTGCGTTGTGACTTCTGATGGCTTTGCTGTGTGCCAGTGCTTTGATGGTTCTACCTTCAGCGATCTCGACAAGACATGCGATGGTGGTGAGTGCTGGCGTGTGAGCGAGAGGTGGAGGTGTGAGCGAGCAAGTGTTGGAGTGCGGGTGTGGCGTCGTGAGCGAGATCTTCGATTCCGTGACCCCTTTGGCTCCCCTAATTTACGTTGCAACAACAACACATGTTGCTTTCCCGTGCAGATGTGTGCGGCAACACGGATTGTGGCACCGATGCTACGTGCGCTGTGACTGATGATGGCACTGCTGAGTGCCAGTGCTCGGATGGTTCTGTGTTCGACGAATCTGACAAGACTTGCTACGGTGGTGAGTGGTGGAGTGTGGTTGAGTGCGCTTTGGGTGCTGATGGCACTGCTGAGTGCCAGTGCGGCCCTGGTGAGCTTGTGACAAACAAATGTGAGAGTGACACATTCAGACACATTTCAACACTTATAGCTCCCACACTTAGTGTCAGCGAGTGAGTGGTGAAATCTCGGTGGTGAGTGACTGCACATCATCCGAAAACAAACCCTTCTTCTACCCCCCTTTCCCTGCGTCATCTCGCACCACCCCGTGATTCTGCCTCTCCTGCAGGCCCGTGTGCCACAAAGGATTGCGGGCCCGATGGTGTGTGCACCGTGAGGGGTGATGGCACTGCCGAGTGCGGGTGCCGTCATGGCTACGCCTTTGATGACTCTGACCAGACGTGCTATGGTGAGTGCTGCACTGGTGTGTGCTGCTGCTATGGTGGGTGCTGCTGTGGTGAGTGCTGCTGTGGTGGGTGCTGCTGTGGTGGGTGCTTCTATGGTGGGTGCTGCTAGATTCGACACATTTCTTGAAACAGAAAGTTTCAGCAGTTAGCGCTTCTCAGTGCTGCCGGAGAACTACTCAGCAGAAGCAGAGGTAATAACCCACCACCACCACAGAGCATACAATCTCAACAGTCAGATCAGCGCTTCTGCCTGAGTACTATTCAGTCCAGCAGACGTACTATTCCACCAGAACGCTGAGTTACTCATTTCGTCTCCTCCTCACTCCTATTCCCACACCTTCCCGCATGGCTGCTCCCTCCCTCCCCGGCCATCAGCCCCCTTCCTCTGCACGACAGTGCGGCTGCAGGTGAGCAGCCCCAGGCTCGACCTGGGCTTCACAGAGGACCATAACTTCCCCACCTCGCAGCCAGAAGAGCAGACACTTTCAGCAGCCAGCGCTTCTGCCGGAGTACTATTCCACCAGAACGCCGAGTTACTCATTTCTGGCTCATTTTCTTCTCCTCACTCCTCCCCGCATCTTCCCCCATCATCCTCCCACTACCCTCCCCGGCCATCAGCCCCCTTCCTCCGGACCACGCTGCGGCTGCAGGTGAAGGGCCCTGGTCTCGACCTGGGATTCACGGAGGACCAAAACTTCCCCACCTCGCAGCCAGCAGAGCGAGCCAGCGGCACCACCACGTGCGCCGACCTCACCCCCAGCTCTGACCTCGGCATCTCTGGCAGCGCTGGCAGCTTTCGCGGCGACATCAGGATCACGGTCGTGTGGAATGCGTCCAACGTTGCTGCGGCCGGCAACGGCATGTGCAAGAGCGTGGCGTTTCACAGTGAGCCCGGCTGCACGGACAAGCCGGGGTTGACCATCACGCGCCCTGCGCGGGTTGGCCGTTACTACCCCGTCACAGAAAGGTGTGTGAGCTCGATGCACGGCACAGCACACAGCACGGCTCGATGCCATGGTTGGTCGGTTCTACCCCGTCACGGAAAGGTGTGTGAGCGTGATGCCTTTTTGAGTCGACTCAAATGTCATCTTTCTACCCTGCCCTGTCACGGAAAGGTGCGTGAGCGTGATGCCTTTTTGAGTCGACTCAAATCTCATCTTTCTACCCTGCCCTGTCACGGAAAGGTGTGTGAGCGTGGCATGATGCACGTCGCATCAAGTGCGCTTTTGTCCAGTGTGCTTCTAGTGCACAAGAAAGGATAAGAAAGGATTCGAGTAACCAGAATCCGCTCTCTTGTTGTTCTAGCATGAATGAGTGTCGTGATTCTTCCTTGTGTACTTTCTTCCCTGTCCTTATCTTTCCCCCTCCCAGAACTGTCAAAGCGACTTTTGAGTCGACTTAGAAGTCACCTCGTGTGTATGTTCTTCCCTTCCCTGTCCTTATCTTTCCCTCTCTCAGAACTGTTAAAGCAATGGATATGCCGCAATCAGTCTCCTGCGAGATCAGTAAGTGCGAGCACATGTCGTTCAATCATCCATCCTCTCCAAAAGAGTTTCATGTGGACACTAGGTACACAAAAGCACTCAAAGCACGCAATCTGACCACAATCTGACCGCAATCTGACCGCAATCTGACCACAATTTGACCGCAATCTGACCTGACCAAAGTACCATTTCTCTTTCCCGCCTCCCTATCCTCAAAAGGCTTTGTTCCTTACCCATTTCGTCCGTATGCCTGGATTGTTTGCCCCCCTGTGGTGCCCTCAACAGCCACATGTCACAAGGATTGCGGAGCGGCTGAGTGCGTTGTGAAGGACGGCAAGGCCCAGTGCAAGTGCCCCTGGGGTTTCGTGTTCAACGAAGCTGAGAAGATGTGCAGCAATAAGTCGTTTACTTCTGGTATGTGTTTTGGTGTTTTGCTGCGCGTTTGCTAAGCAACAAAGAGTTTGACAAACGTTATGCAAGTGGGCCGGATTCCCAGAGCAAGAAGAATTCCAAATGCGAAAGAGAAGAGCTCTTGGTCGCAAAGAAACATGCTCTTCGACATCCTGTCACAAAGAAACATGCTCTTTGACATCATGTCAATCTGATGCTTAACTTCTTCCCTCCTCCTCCACCCATGGCAGACTCAGACCCTTGTAAGACGGGAACGCTTAAGTGCGCCAAGAACTCAACATGTGTTGTGAAGAGTGGGCAGGGCATGTGCGAGTGTGACGCCGGCTACACCAAGACGGGCGCCCAATGCACTGGTGAGACCATCAAGGGCACTAGGTCAAGAGGTCAAAAGGCAGTACAGCTACTGGTGAGCTTACCAAAGGCATCGTATCAAATGCTGGTGACCAAGAGACTGTCTGGCCTCTTGCCCCCCCCTTCGGAAGACAGTGCACGGAAACACAGTGCACGGAAACACAGTGCACGGAAACACAGTGCACGGAAACACAGTGCTTTATGTCGGCCCAGCCCAGTCCGCGTTGAGTGCTTGTAGTGGTTCTGTGGGATCCTCTTTCCCCCCTTCCTCACAAGCCACTTGTTTCCATTTTTTTCTGCCTGCTGCCCCACGCAGCCTCATGCTCTTCCTCCTCTGCCCCACTCCCCACCTCCCACCCACGCCAGCCATTTGCAAGCCGGCCTGCCCTGTGAATGCCCAGTGCATGGTGGTGCGGGGAATGCCGGTGTGTGAGTGCAAGAGAGGTTTCAAACTGGAGACGAGCAAGTGCACACGTAAGCGAGGGGGAGGGATTTCAAATTGGAGACGAGCAAGTGCACACGTACGTGAGAGGGGGAGATCTATGCCTGTGCAGCCCAGTTCGACTGATTTTTGAGACCTCTCAAAAGTCTGATCCAACCATCTCCACCATCCACATCCTCCCATGAACAACCCAAACGACGCATCCGTGCCATCTACTCATTCCAAACGCCCTCCAATTCTACCCCACTCTACCTCCATAGTTTTCATTCGCTTGCACCCCCCTGCCCACTGCCCACCCTATGTGGCAGCTGTGTGCAATCCCACGTGCCCTGCGAATGCGGAGTGCAAGGTGGTGAAAGGAAATCCGGCATGTCAGTGCAAGGCAGGGTTCCGAATGGCGAATAACAAGTGCACACGTAAGGAACTTGGAAGGAAAAGTATTCTCTGCTCTCTTTCTCAGTTTTACCCACCTCTGCCTTGCACCACCGTTACCACTCACAGCGTCTTCTCTCAAGCCATCCACAACCCGCATGTCCCATTTATGCCATCTACTCTTCACTGTATGCTCTCCACCCATCTATTCCCCGCTCGTCCTCCATTTCTCCCCTCCCTTTCAACCCCCTTTTATCATGTGGCAGCTGTATGCCAGGCTAGCTGCCCTGCTAATGCGCAGTGCAAGGTGGTGGGAGGAAGCGCCCAGTGTCAGTGCAACTCAGGGTTCCAGATGCACAACAGCAAGTGCACACGTAAGGGAGAGAGAGAGACACGCATTCTGTCCTATTTGTATTATTGATCGTTCGAAGCAAGTGCAGCTTGATTGAAGCTCGTGCTATTCCCATCTCCCCCTCCACTACCCACTCGCTTGTACCAGTCGCCGTTTCTCATTTATGCCATCTACTATTCTGACTGTTTCTCTCATTCTCGTCCCCTCTCATCCGTCATTTCTTCATCCTTCTCCCGTTCTCCCCTTTCCATGTGGCAGCCGTATGCCAGCCTAGCTGCCCAGCTAATGCGCAGTGCAAGGTGGTGGGAGGAAGGGCGCTGTGTCAGTGCAACGGAGGGTTCCAAATGCAGAACAGCAAGTGCACACGTAAGGAAGAGAAAGACAAGCATTCTGTCCTTCCTATTTGTATCGCTTTCTTAGTTGGTGCAGCACGAGCCTCATGCTCTTCCCCTCTCCCCTCCATCCCCCATCTGCTTGCTCCCATCCCATCCCATCCCATCCCGTCCCGTCCCGTCCCGTCCCGTCCCGTCCCGTCCCGTCCCGTCCCGTCCCGTCCCGTCCCGTCCCGTCCCGTCCCGTCCCGTCCCGTCCCGTCCCGTCCCGTCCCGTCCCGTCCCGTCCCGTCCCGTCCCGTCCCGTCCCGTCCCGTCCCGTCCCGTCCCGTCCCGTCCCGTCCCGTCCCGTCCCGTCCCGTCCCGTCCCGTCCCGTCCCGTCCCGTCCCGTCCCGTCCCGTCCCGTCCCGTCCCGTCCCGTCCCGTCCCGTCCCGTCCCGTCCCGTCCCGTCCCGTCCCGTCCCGTCCCGTCCCGTCCCGTCCCGTCCCGTCCCGTCCCGTCCCGTCCCGTCCCGTCCCGTCCCATCCCATCCCATCCCACGAACGATTGCAGTTTCTCATTCATGCCCCCTACTTGACTGTATTCGCTTCTCCTCGTCCCCGCTCATCCTTCGTTTCTTCATTCTTGTCTCTCCCACTCCCCCCTTTTCATGTGGCAGCCGTATGCCAGCCTAGCTGCCCGGCTAACGCGCAGTGCAAGGTGGTAGGAGGAAGGGCGCAGTGCCAGTGCAACGCGGGGTTCCAAATGCAGAACAGCAAGTGCACACGTAAGGAAGAGAATGACAAGTATGCTGTCATCATATTAGTATTGCTCCCTTACAAGCTGGTGCAGCTTGATTGAACCTCATGTTCTTCCCCTCCGCAATCCACCACCTACTTTCTTGCACCCACGGACGGCAATTGCAGTGACTGATTTATGCCATCCGCTCTGACTGTATTCTCTCCTTCCCGTCCCCGCCCATCCTTAATTTTTTCATTCTTTCTCCCATTTCGCCCCCTTTCATCTGACAGCTGTATGCCAGGCTAGCTGCCCGGCTAATGCGCAGTGCAAGGTGGTAGGAGGAAGGGCGCAGTGTCAGTGCAAGTCAGGGTTCCAAATGCAGAACAGCAAGTGCACACGTAAGGGGGCGAATGACATGCATCTCGTCCTATTTTTATCTTTCTATTTGCAAGTGCACACGTAAACTCTCTGAGAAGCTGTTCCATCCTGTATTTTGAGGCGCCTCAAAATTCACCTCAACTGCCCAGTAAGCTCTCAGAGAAGCCCTTCCATTCTGAGAGAACCTCATGCTCTTCCCCTCTTCCCCCTACCCCCCACCACTTGCTTGCTCCTATCCCACAACAATTGCTGTGCCTCATTCGTGCCCTCTACTCTCTCTGTTTATCCCTGCCCATCCTTCATTTCTTCATTCTTATCTCTCCCATTTCCCCCTTTCCATGTGGCAGCCGTATGCCAGCCTAGCTGCCCTGCTAATGCGCAGTGCAAGGTGGTGGGAGGAAAGGCAGCCTGCCAGTGCAAGGCGGGTTTTCGAATGCAGAACAACAAGTGCACACGTAAGGGAGAGAAAGACAAGCATGTTTCGCTTTTGGTGGCTGTCGCAGCTAGGCTTAGCCTCATGCCCTTCCCCCTGACTCTGCCCTTCCCCCTGACTATGCCCGTGCCCTTCCCCCTGACTGTGCCCTTCCCCCTGACTGCGCCCTTCCCCCTGACTGCGCCCTTCCCCCTGACTGTGCCCTTCCCCCTGACTGTGCCTTCCCCCTGACTGTGCCCTTCCCCTGACTGTGCCCTTCCCCCTGACTGTGCCCTTCCCCTGACTGTGCCCTTCCCCCTGACTGTGCCCTTCCCCCTGACTGTGCCCTTCCCCCTGACTGTGCCCTTCCCCCTGTCTGTGCCCTTCCCCCTGACTGTGCCCTTCCCCCTGACTGTGCTTTTCCCCCTGACTGTGCCCTTCCCCCTGACTGTGCCCTTCCCCCTGACTGTGCCCTTCCCCCTGACTGTCAACCCCCACTACCCAATGATGCCATCTGCTTGCAGTGTGCGTGCTCTCATCTCTTCCCCTCTCGTCTTTCCTTGCTCCCTTCTCTCGCTTCCTCCACTTTTTGAATGTGGCAGCCGTATGCCAGCCTAGCTGCCCTGCTAATGCGCAGTGCAAGGTGGTGGGAGGAAAGGCAGCCTGCCAGTGCAAGGCGGGGTTTCGAATGCAGAACAACAAGTGCACACGTAAGGGAGAGGACAACACATATGCTCGCGTTACTGTCTTGCTCTTTCAACGGCTGGCACGCTCGTCCGAACCCTCATGCAGTACACGCATTGCTGACACACTCACGTTCTTTTCGTTCAACTGCTGCTCAACAAAATGCTATGATCATCAGGCTTCCACCATTATCGCGCCACATTCTAATCTCGTGCCAACTAGATCTCCACCATCCACAAATTGACTTTTGAGTCGACTCAAAAGTCATCTCGTGCCAACTAGATCTCCACCATCCACAAATTCTTCTCTCGTGCTGCCTTGAATTGCTGATAATTTTGTACCAACCTCCGTCTTAACCTTCTGTCTCATGTCACTTTGACCTGCCGCCCTCCTTTCACCCTTTCTTTGCAACTCAGCAAACTAATCAAGGCCACTTTGATTAGTGGCCCTGGTTTCATGGGCAAGGAGCAAGGAGGTGCAAGCTGGCAGTGCCAGAGGAATGTCAGATGGGTGGGGGCTGGTGGAGCAGAGGTGCAAAGGGACATGGGATCTGTAGGTGCTGACAGCGCCAGAGGGACATCAAAGGGGTGGGGGCTGATGGAGCAGAGGTGCGAGCAGCTGCATGCGGTTGCTCGAAGGCCAGGAACCAACTTGGCTGATGGTTGGCTGTGTCATTTAGTGTGTGGAATAAAATAGCATACTCGGTTGGTTTGTTGTACAATAGAGCATGGGATTCTACCGGTAGCTCTGAATCTGTCGGCATATTGTATGTCTGAGGCCTTTTTGTTTGTCTCGGTACTTTTGGAAACAGTTACCGTAATCTCCCGGAAATAAGAGCCTAGGGTCTTATGCTAAATCCCTAGAAAAAATTGGGGGTGGTCTTAACAAAGGAAAAAAAAAAAAGTATATAGACAATACTCGGGTCTTTTCATATGGCATATTTTTCCAGAGGTGTTTTGAAAGTTCTGAACGAGCATTGATGTGTATTTCGAGGCGCCACTAAATTGACACGCAGTTACCGTTTGGCCCCGGATATAGGCGGCGCCTATTAGGCGCCTTCCGATTAAAGGCGCCGGCGCTTTCATATGGACCATGGCGCTTATGGCCGAAACTCGATTATAAGCCCCCCCTCTGGAAACCCTTATTATAAACGCACGTACAATTTCAATTCAACATCATGTTTAAAAAGGTACCGAGCTTCATTTTTACAGCGAGTCTGATTTCAATTTCGTTTCGTTTGACTCGCGAAGACCTGACTGGCTGTTGCGCGTCCAGTCAGGATGTACTGGAATGATGTGTCAGAATCTTAACCACTAACCACTAGGATAAGAGGGCTTATTTCGGATGCCCGGGGTACACACACTGGGATTCGAACCCGAGACCTCTGATACCATGTCATAATTCTAGCCACCAACCACTGGGATAAGAGGGCTTATTTTTGTGTATGTGTGTGTGTGTGTGTGTGTGTGCGTGCGTGTGTGTGTGTGTGTGTGTGTGCGTGTGTGTGTGTATGTGTGTGTGTGTGTATGTGTGTGTGTGTGTCTCTCTCTCTCTCTCTCTCTCTCTCTCTCTCTCTGTGTGTATGTGTGTGTATATGTGTGTGTGTGTGTTTTTTTTTGTTTTTTTTGGATGTAGATATATTAAAGAAAACATAGGTACATCCTCAGTCGTAACTGTAGGCGTGGGGGGCAAGAGCCCTGCCAGCGGCGGGACTTACATGAAAGCGTCGGTCCACCTGGTTTGCCCTTCCTTCGCGCTGATCTCCCTCAGCGCCCTCCTCTTATCTTGCGCCACCTGGCCCCACGCGTCATAGCCCCCGCTCTTTTGTTTTCCATCTCTCACCGCTTCTCTCACCCTCGCTGCCAGCACCACTCTCGCATGTGTCATGAAGCCGACCACCACATTCCGCCCCACCTTCTTCCGCCGGAAAGGGATTTTCCTCCACGCAGCATCACATCGGACTAGCCAAATTTATCGCGATACCGTTGCAACCATTGTCGTTTCCGGGAAACCTGACACGGTCCCCCCCTTTCTCGAAAAGCAGATCCTCCAGCGAGTTTGCCCTCCTGCCCAGTCAAACCCCCCACAGTGAGGGCAGTCAATACTGTTCCTCATGAAGTCCAGTCTCCCCCCCACCTGCAGGTTCATGCTGTGAGCTCTGAGCAACACGTCCCTTGCTCTGTGGGGCACCACCACTGAGTCCCTTCTTGCAATTGCCGCTTTCCAGTCAATATCTCTCCCCCACACAGCCTCCCATTCCCCCTGCCTTCTCGAAACTCCCCTGTCTCTCGTTATCGCCCGCCTTATCTGCCGCAAAGGTACCAACTCGCCCTTGTCAAACAGCTTAGTCTTGTTATCAGCTTCGACCTGGCGACCCCCACCGGTCCAATCAGCTTCATTCCGTGTGCCGCCACAGGTTGTACTCTGCAGACGTCGAAACACGCTCTCGTGGGTCTCTCCGGGACCTCCAGCTCTCCTCCTTCGTTCAGCCGTAGGTATGTAGTGTTCACCTTGCTACCTTCCGCATCCCCCATTGCCCAGTACACCTTTTCCTCAGGCCTCCGTGTTGACACACTTACGACCTTCGCAACTTCTTGCAGCGCTTGTGCTGTGACAGGTGCCAGCGCCAGCTCCTTCCAGGCCACTGGGAGTGCCTTATAGGCTTTGAGGGCCAGCGCCGCTGCCACCTCATCCCCTAAGCTTCTTTGGTCTCCTGCTATCTTCCGGCAGGCGCTCAAGAAGGTCACAAACACGCAGGTTTAGTGTCACATCTGCGCCCTTTTGCAGCCCGAAAGGACTCTTCTCTCTGTGCATCAATTTCCTGTTGAAACATATCCACTCTTGATCCACCTCCCATCTGGTTGCAGGCTCCGGAAGATCTGCTAGTGGGGAGCTCCAAAAGGCCTTAGCCCCCGCCTTCCATCTCTCGCTTCCGCTCGACCATTTTTTAAATTTCGCTGGATGCGCGTACCATGTCACCGTCCCCTGGGGGAGGTTGGCCGCTTCCTCCGCCAGCCACCGACGTACCCCGTCCGGTTCCGCCTGCAACTTCCCCACCCTGCGGATCGCCAATCCGTCCAGCCACAGCTTGATGTCCGCCAGCCCCAATCCCCCGTCCTTCCTTGGCAGACTGACCAGTTAAGTGTTCCACAGTATGAACCTCCGTTCTTCCGTTGCTTCTCCCCCCGAGACGAAATTATGGCATAGCTTCCGTATCTTCTCCCAGATGTTCTCTGGCGGCGAGCACACCTGCGCCTGAAACATCATGATTGGCAGCACATTGCAGCTGACCACCGCCACTCTCGTTGTCGTTGTCAGATACTGTGCCTCCCATCTCCCAAGTTCCTCCTTACACCCTCTCGTAGGTCTTATTGATGGAAAGCGCGCGAATCTGGAGAGCGTAACAAGAGATTAAGTCTGCCGACTTCGGCGAACCATTGCGTGCAGCTCACGTAACCTAAAAATATGAGCAGGTACGCGTTGGAAAGGTATTAATCTCTAATTTCCATAATAGTGAAGCACGCCTTCAACCAAGATCTAGGCCGATCGCTATCGCGATTTAAGTGCGACGGGGTATCCTGGCGGAATTACTTGGCAGCCATGGAATAGATCTATTGAATGGCTTAAGCAAGAGTCCAGATCTGAAAAATGACGAGCTTTTCAAACCCTACCAACCCAACCTTAGCCCCACAACAATCCCCAACAACCCAAAATGCCAAACTAGCAACACCAAAGGTGTTGTAGTGAATAGCAAAGGTTTGTTGAGGCTTGTTGGGTGCGAGATCAATTCCAGCCCGCAACAAGTCTAACCACCACATTTTGCCCAAACCCTTAGCCCACAACCAGCTAGAGCAAAATACTACAACCACCTACACAATCAACACTCCCCCTTGCTCGTGCTGGAGGTGGCTGAACACCACTGGGCAAAATCCTTCACTCCACTCCCCCTTGCCCAGGGAGGGGCGCCATCCACAGCATGATGTCGTCAAGGCAGAGAAGCACCAGCCCTCCCACATCCTGCTCAGGCACCATGCCAACATGGGGCTGCATCCCCATCAAGGACATGCACACACCATGCCTCTCAAAGGGAAGGGGTTTAATGAGTATGTCCGCTGCTTGACGGTTGGTTGGGCACCATCGGAGGATCACCTCGCCGCTTGCCACCATCTCCCTGATGAAATGCCACCGAACCTGCATGTGCTTGGTGCGGCCATGCAAGCATGCATTCTGTGCAAGGGCAATGGCAGACTGGTTGTCCACAAACACAGGCACACCACCAGCAAACTCATGCCCAAACTCCCCAAACAAACGCTTCAGCCACACACCCTCCTGAATGCACTGACACAGACTGATGTACTC